CCTCCTCCACCTCCTCCACCTCCTTCTTTCTCATATCCACCCCTTCCCCCACTTCCCTTCTTGAGCTGCAATGGAGCTGCCAGGCTTTGCAGCACAGTGTTAACTGTGGAAAGGCAGGAAAAGTCACTTGCTTTTGTTCTTTCAAGGTTTTCTACCTCCCCCACGCACACATCTGGCCAATACTTTGTGGATCTCAGCAATTCCTTTAATGACTTTGAAAACCTACCAGAAGCAGCTATTTGGCTGAGGGATCCCAGTTTAAGGGAACACTAGATTCAGACTCCTGTACCAAGCTTGCGTCCAGTGATCTGCCAGCTGCCTTAGCCTGAGGCTGGAGTTGGGTCCATTCATTCACTGATAGGTAAGGTTATATATTACTTAGAACTAAAGCTGCACCTGTGCAGACAGACTTCCAGAGTCCCAAGTCCACCCTGGCAGGCTCTCACTGCCACAGATGAGGCTCGGTTCAGAGCCCCCACTCCACATCTGACTCTGTGGAAGGAGAGGCTGGCCTTCTGCTTATTTTTCAGTCATGAATCTGACACGTGTCTTACTGCATATAGGCAATTGTACCCACCCGGAGGGAGACTGTTACCCAGTGGAATTCCTGGGCCAATGGCTGGAGGGTTTCCAAGTGTGAGTATAGGCTTATTTTAAACCTCTTAGGAGCTGGACTTAAAAGCAATGTTCTGGTAAGTTATGAAAAGATTCCTCCAGTCATGCTAATCATCACTTCTGGAATGTGTTTGTTGGGTGGATTTGGAATTTGGGAGAAAACAGATTGTTTTTCTTCTTTAACCAGGTCTGGTTTCTGCCATCCCTATGGGGTAGGCATGTCGATGGGGTGAGGTGCTTGGTGAGAGGTGCTTGGAGGCCAAGCAACTGAATCCCCACTAATCCTAGCTCAGGAGGGCTTCAGGGCTGAGCTGAAAACCCCTGCCTGGGCACCTATCCAGCAGGAAACAGAGCTCTGCAAGGTTATGAAACAACACCCCAGAGAGCTACTGAGCCCATAGCTCGGGACGGGGAGGAGAGAAGGGAAGAGATACCCAGAGGGGCCTTGCCAATGCAGGACAAGGGCAGTTCTCAGCAGGCAAAACCTAAAACATCCCACAAGTGTAAGAAGAGATACTTGGCCTCCTCAGAAACCAAAGGAAAATACACACTCTAGCAACAGTAGAACATTATCTTCCTCCTATCAGACTGGCAAATATGAAAACATAACGACCCCCATTGTTGGAGAGGGAATAGGGAGTGGGCATTCTGCTCTGCTCCAGGAGGGAATATGGAACGTGTGGCCACCTGCCAGAAATGTGGGGAAAGCCCCAGGAGTCGGCATCCCAATACTTGTGCTCTTCTATTTCTAAGAGCTTGGTCTAAAGACTCGAGCTATGTACAGAGAAACATACATGGTCAAGGATGGTCACCAGCCAGCATTGTTCACAAGAACAGGACTGGGGCTGGGAGATTGCTCCATCTGTGACCCAGAGAGGCTGAGGTAACTTGCCCAAAGCCACCCGGCTACTAAGGACTGGGTTTGGGGTTCAGATCTGAAGCCACACCACCAGCCCGAGGCTAGATTGCTTCTTATTTCATGGAAGGAAAGGAAGTGGCAGGTGTGGGTGGAGATCCTCCCAGTGTTTGCAACCTACCCCATGCGCTGCACTGGCGCTGTACCAGGTGAGCTTGCACTATTGCTCTAGTCTCACAAGCACCTCAGTTGATAAGTGGTTGCCAGGAGGGCTTCGGAGGAAAGGCTTTTGTGCTCTGTAAGGGCCCTGAAAGTAGCTTCACTGGAGGAACTGGTTGCTAGGAGACATTTCCTCAGAAAGTTTCCTTTGGAAAATGAGCCCGGGCTTTGCCCGTAACCCAGTATTGTTATACCCAGAGAAGAACATCCCATTATGGGTTCCCCACAAGGTGTTGGCAGCAGATGCAATCCCTTCTCAAACTGCTTCTTTCTGGTCCTAGCTCAGAGCTCATCTTAGGATGTGCTAACACACTCAGACTCCTCAAAAGAAAGCACCCTTTGAGGTGATCTGCCTGCACCCCCCTTTACAAATGAAGAAAGCAAGGCACGGCTGAGGGACTGGTACTGCGAGACTGGCTTCTCTCTCATCATGGCACGTGGTGGCTCCCACAGGCCTTGTGCAGTCAGCAGGAACTCAGTATGGGAAGCATTTCAAAGTGGTCAGAGGAGCAGACAAGTATTTTGTTTATGTGGAAATGAGCAGCTGACATTTATTGGGAATCTATGATGTGTCAAACACTGGGCTATGTCTTGTCTTTTTTGTTGTGAACCTAGTCTTCAATGGCTGAGCCAGGCCCTGGGCCATATCTTTAGGATCTTCATATGCAGACTCTGGCCTCAGGGTCATTTTAACACCAGTGTCTAACAGCTTTTGTTTTGGGATGAAGGGTCATCTTATCCTGCCTCTCTGTGTGTCTAGAAAAGATTGACTGTATATTGGACATGGTTTAGATTCTGGATTCTGTTTTCTTCCTGAGAAAAATGTTAAGTATTGTCTTAGCAGGCAGTAAAATTTCTAGGTAATTCCTTAGTATTTCCACGGGCTGTTTTCCCATTTATCTAATAGGGAATATAGCTGGTTTTGCTCTTTGTTTGGGGAGGATTTCTGCAAAGCACTGGCTATTTCTCAGGTTCTTCAGACTTGGCTGGCTCCTCAGCGAGCTTTCTCTTCTGAGGATCCTGAGGGATTTGGTGTCAGCTTCTTTAGAGGGCAGGAGAGGCCTCTCCCTGCAGCATGCCCTGTTCCTTTCTGGTGCAGCCTTTCTGGTGGCTTAAGCTGGGTGCCTGTGAGCAATGTCCTCATGTCTGTCTCCACTGCCTGACCTTCAGTATCGCAGGTCACCTCAGCCTCCTAACTGCTTATCTCTAGTGAATCTCAGCTGGGCTCACCTGTGCCCTAGGCAAGACTTTGTGGGTCATGTGGGCCCCTATAGATTCTTCAGACGACCTCCTTTTGTGTATGTTTAACTAATGTCCATGTATGTGTGTGGGGTACATGTGAAGGTCAGAGGACAATTTCAGATGTTATTCTGCAGGCACCATCTATTTTTTTATTATTATTATTATTATTATTATTATTTTGAGACAGAGTCTCTTTGACCTGGAGCTTACCCAGTAAGCTAAGCTGGCTGGCTAATGAGCCCCAAGGATCCAACCACCTTAGTCTCCTGGGACTACAAATATGTACCTCCAGGCCAAGATTTTGGTTGAAACATGGGTCTGAGGACTTAACTGGTACAGAGCAGGCACTTAGCAAGGGAGCCACCTTCCTGGCTCCAGGTCCATGTTTGTTTTCTGCCTTATTTACCAGCTACAGGGGCTTATCTGGGTCACATGACCTCTACTAGCCCTAAACATTCCAGAACGACCCCTTTCTTATCCTTGAAATGAGCAGCAGCAGTAACAGGTTAGTGACCCGAAGCACCAGGTACCCCTTAGCTTCTGAACCTGCCTGGGGAGTGATTGTTCTTGCTTTCCAAAGGGAGAGCCTGTGGCTCAGAGACTGTGTCATCTGCCCAAAGGCTCACAGTTGGCAAATAGCCAAGCTGCATTTGCTTCCTGTGCCTGGAAGAATCCACCTCTTCTTCAGCATCCAAACTTGGGTGCTTCTCTATCACTCAGAGCTCCTTTGGGTGAGGTATGGGGGACAATGGGTCCTCTAGAATGGGGCAAAGGCAGGGAAATCATCCGTGAAGCTCTGTCCAGATTCTGTTACATCAAGCAAGATCATGTTTCCTCCATTCTGGCGCCATGAGCAGGGCAGAGGAATGGGCAGGCAGCCACTTCCCTGGTTATTCAAGTAGAAAATTACAGGTGCCCCAAATAGCCTGGACATTCTTTTATTAATGAATAAGCAGTGAGTTGGTGGAGTTGGCATGGGGCTGGTGTTGCCTGCACCTCTTTCCACTGGCTGCTTTCCGAAGATCTTCAGGGACCCGCGCCTCTTAGTTCTCTGAGGAGCTGGAGCCAATGTCAAGTTAGAGTGGGTGCACCTTCAGGGCTTGGTCCCAGTGAAAGGGGAGGGAGGCATGGCTTTAGTCTACAAGAAAATGAGGGCCCCTGGTTCAAATAGGATCAGGTGCTAGAGTTAAGGCCATTTTTCCAGCTGTGTGGCCTTGAGCAAATGGTTTCACTCCTCTGGGCATTTCATGTCTTCTGAAAAAGAATCCTGAACTCACAGAAAACCCTTTCTCTTGATTATGATATTAATACTCACTCATTGTAAATGATGAAGAGACAGACCAGGAAGAAGGATATAAAATGAACATTCCATCCTGACCCCTTCATCATTCTCAGTTAACAAGGCTAGGATTAAGGCCAACCCAAGCTTCCTCTAGACACACATGGGGAGATGGCTAGTCCAGACCCAGCCAGCTACCATGCCTTGTGGTGGGTCAGCACTTGCAACCCACAGGCAGCCCTCAGTTAACCTCAGAAGCTGCACCTGGATGCAGGTGACCCCAGCATCCCATAACTTCTGTTTTTCTCGTCCAGTCCCCACAACATCCTCCAACCTCTGGCTTCATTCAGAGCCATAGAGAGGATGGGGTGAAAAAAAGCCATTTAGTGAGGCAAATCCAGGGCCTGGGCCCTGATGACAGGGTACCTGTGCCCCCCTGCCCTGTCAGTTGGCCTGGGAAGCTGTGGCTCATCTTTGCTTCCTGGAGCTTCTCTTGGGTTACTTTGGGACTAGTTAATGTATTAAAAGGCTACCATGCTAACTCTTAGCATGTGGATTACACATGGGTCCCAGACACTGTGGTTATCACCAACTGTGGTTAGCCTGAGGCCAACTCTGATTTGGAACCCAACTGGAAATGAGCCTTAGGAATCCCCAACAGGCAGGATATACCAACAGTGCTGATCGCTGGCTCTGCTGCCCACAGGCACAGCAGTAGAATGCCTGTCCTCAGTCCCTTTCATAAGGAATAAAACCAAAGCTCAGAGGAGGTATATGATTTTCCTAAGGCCACCCAGCTGCAGTTACACAACCGGAACTTGTTCTCAGGTTTGTCCTCATGGAATGTCTGACTTTGTCCAGGAAGCACAGCTATTGTTGGTTGTTTTTACTCTTTTGGGGGGCCTGCTACCCGGCTCCCAAATAAAGCACACATGGAGGCTTATTATTAATTATAAATGCTTGGCCTTAGCTTGACTTGTTTCTAGTCAGGTTTTCTTTCCTTCTCTCTCTCTTTTTTTTTTTTTTTGAGACAGGGTTTCTCTGTGTAGCTTTGGAGCCTGTCCTGGAACTCACTCTGTAAACCAGGCTGGCCTAGAACTCACAAAGATCCACCTGACTCTGCCTCCTGAGTGCTGTGATTAAAGACGTGCACCACTACTGCTCAGTTTAGCGGATTTTCTTATCTTAAATTATCCTGTCACCCTTATGCCTCTGGGCTTTTCCCATTCTCTTACTTCTGAAAATCTTACTCTTATTCTGTGGCTTTTTGTGTAGCTGGGTGGCTGGCCCCTGATGTCCTTTTCCTTCTCTGGCTACTCCTAGATCTCCTTCCAGATTTTTCCTCTGCCTGCCAGCCCTGCCTATCCTTTCTTCTGCCTTGCTATTGGCCACTCAGCTCTTTATTAGACCATTAGGTATTCTAGACAGGCACAGTAACACAGTTTCACAGAATTAAACAAATGAAACAAACAAAAGTAACACATCTTAAAATAATATTCTACAGCATTCAGGCTGTTGGGATGAAGAAGAGCTAGCCCCTGTCCCCAGAGCCCTGTTCTTTGGGAGAGTGCCATTGGTAACTTTCTGAAATTCCTTGGGTGCTAATGGCTAGGGAGGAGTCTGTGGTTCTGGGCTCAGCCTGTGTTAGTGTAGATCATGGCAGGACCATTCCTAGCTCTGTCATTCTCTCTGCTTCTCCAGACAGACCTCAGCATCACATTCGTAAAATGGGCTAATGCAGTGCTGCCAACTGGATTGCTCTCTTAAAGTCTTGGTGTGCGGGAAGTGCACAGAAAACCAGCTCTTGAAAGTTGTTCTCATCAGTGGAGGACTGGAGTGTTTCCGAAGGCTAGCCTGCTTTCTACCAGGCAGGGGACGGGCTGGTATTGAAAGGATGATAAATGGCTCTGGCGGCGGTGTGATGGTGGTGCTGGAGGCACTGGTTACCCATGGAAAAGGTCATGACAGAACCCAGTATTAGTTTTCAGAGCTTCATTAGGAGGAAAATGGGGAGGGGGAGAGGAGAGCCAGGTGTGGAAAGAGAGCAAGATGGTGGGGTGGGGGGAGAGGGGAGCAGAGCAGAGAGAGCAGAGGGAGCAGAGGGTCTGCATCTGGCTTTTAAGGTGCAGAATGTGTGACCACACTGCACATACACAGTCACCAGCGCCCATTGATGACGTAAGATGCAAGACCTGGAACTGTGCCTGTGCAGTCATGTAGCTGGAGTGAGGGCAGAATTCTAACAGGTTCTATCTAGGAAGTCCTGCTTTCTCTGGCATTTGGAACATTCTTCTACACAGGTAAGGCTGCGTAGGTCCAGGCTATCACTCAGGCCCTATATGAGGAGGTGGGAGTGAGGCCCTCAAAACCTGGACAGCAGGCTGGTATTGTGTGTCCAGAGAGTGCCATTGAGCAGGTACAGTGCTGCCATCCCAGACAGGAAGATGTGTCCTGACCCTAGACGACTCCTTCACTGTTGCTCCTTCATTCTTTTAGGCAGGGTCTCTCACTGGCCTAGAGCTAGCCAATTAAGCTAGACTGGCTAGCCACTGAGACCCAGGGATCTTCTTGGCTTTTATCTTCTTAGTCCTGAGATTACAGGTGTGCAGCACAGCCCTGTGCCCAGTATTTCTACATGTGTCCTGGGGCTCAAACTTAGTCTTTGTGCTTATGAGACAAGCATGTTACTGGCTAAGCCATTTCCCAAGTCTCAGCTGACCTCTTTCTAGATGAGTCCTATTGTAGATTGGCAGGGTCACATTGCCTGCTATAAGAAATAAAATCTTACAGTTCACACAAGTCCAATTACAGATAAATAAGAAAAGCTAGGCCCTGATGGTAGCCTGCTAAATTAGCTACCCCCCTGCCCAAATCTGAAGTTTAGAGAGGCTTGCCTAATGACCTGCAGATGTGCCAAGGTCACGTGCTTAGTAAGCTTTAATGGTGTAGAGACGAACACACATACGGACTTTGTTGAGAAATTGGCAGATGTTAAGTGGTGGAGGGAACATGAGACCTAGATGATGTGAAAGACTGTACCCTTCTGATCACTCAGCCAATGAGGAAAGGGAGGAAGGGACCTGATTCAGGACTAGAAAAGCTGTCTGCTGTGCTTAATCAGCATGCCCACCACTCTGGGCAGACATCTAGCTTTGCAAAGTAGTAAAACACACTGTCTCCCTTTGTCTCCTCTGTCTCCCTCCATTGTTCTCATTACCGAGTGATCTTTATTGTTCACACAGCCAGGATCCTCCCTGAACTCCAGCCAGTGAGCTGCTTGGCCAGATAAAAATAACGACAAAATAGTAACTGTCTGTGGAGTTCCTGCTGGGTGCCCTATTTTGTTCTTGGTGGGTTCTACTAACTAACCACTTACAAAGGAGGAGGTTGAGGCTGAGGCTGAGGAGTCAAAGAGGTGGCCAAGGTCACAAGGCTTCCACAGCGGAAGTGTGTCTGATGATAGGAAAAGGTTCCTGATGCTATCCTGAAACAAGTCTAGCCTTGGTGCTCTAATGCCAGCTTCTGGCCTGTGCCCCAGTTTCTGTCCAGCTCTGGTCCCTGTGCCCTCTCCTACAGCATGCCTCAGCCACTGCCTCCTGGTTGAGCTGCTCAAGGTGCCCAGAATGGCATCAAGGCTTTTTTCCTCAGCTTTGGTGCTGAAAGCTCCCCTCACCTGGACTGTCTGGCTTATTCTTCTAGAATGCTGTTGAGATGGGCACTCCTCAAGGAACATTTCTTGATGACCTCTCCCCAAGACTAGGTAAGAACTGTAAGTCATTACCTCCATGGAAGGGTTGAGCTGAAGGTCTCTCGGAGAGACCATCCCCACCTAGCACCCAGAAGCTTGGCCTTTAGGGCTGACAAGTCTTTGCCTTGGAATACTCCAGAGACTTGGCTAGCTAGAAGAAAGCATTGGTTCTTGCAGCCTGCTTAAGTCTACAGGTCACAGACATCCTCAAACAGCCCTTGCTCGAGGTGCTATGACTCCTCGTGGCCCAGCCAGAGGAGTGCCCACTGGCTGCAGTGGGTGGCCCAAACATGAGAAGTCACCAGGGCTTTCCCTCTCCAAAGGCAGTCCTGGAAAGAGTACCCCCTGGCTTCTGGACAAATAGACCCCTGAACTTCAACACTGAGCTTGCTAACTGGTGCAGACATAGAGAGACTGTGTTGGAGACAGGTACCTGGGCTAGAAGTAATTTCAGTACCACACCTGTACTTTACAACAGCCTAAGTGACTTCTGTGTTATCTTAGGACCAAGCCAATGCTGACGCCCACAGGCATTATGTTCACCTCAGTCATTTCCCCTAGACTCTAAATTGTGGGCACTATCTCTGAGCCAACAGTATCCATCCATGTGAAAGAAGCCAGATGTACTTTGTAAAAAATTTCAATGTAAACATGTCTGCAATTTGTTGTGCAATTGAGATTGAGTTAATTGTTACCAGAAAACTTTTTCCTAAGTGTTCTGTGCTTGAATATGGCTAAAGTAAAAGACCTGGTGTCAGACTCTCAAAGTTTGGACCAGTGATGGCTGACTAAGTCATACTGAACCAAGTTTTCTTCTTACCTCACCTGGATTGTTTTCCTGCCATCCATAAAGGACCTTCCACATAGCCTGGTCTACATAGCAAGCTCCAGGACAGCCAGGGCTACATAATGAGACCTTTCTCATCACCATGCTTACTTTCCATGGCTTTAGTTTCTACAGTGCTTGCTCTTTGGGTGGCCATGCTTGCCACTCATTTATGTATGTATGTATGTATGTATGTATGTATGTATGTATGTATGATTTTATTTATTTATTCATCATTCATTCATTTATGCTAACTTCTTACTTTTATACTTACCTCATTCATTACATTTCAGATTTCTTTTCTATATTAATTTAAAGCTATAAACTTCCCCTTTAGTATTATTGCAGCCAAATCCTACAAGTTTCAATGTAGAGCAATTTTATTGTTATTCAACCTAAAGATTTTCTTGACATCTCCTTTGGTTAGTTCCTTTTGCAGGGGAGCATTTCTAGCCAAGTTTTCTCTGTGTAGCTCTGGTTCTCTTGGAACTCACTCTGTACACCAGGCTGGCTTTGAACTCTCAGAGATCTGCCTGCCTCTGCCTTCAGAGTGCTGGGATTAAAGGTGTGTGCTACCACTGCCCAGCTTCTTTGGTTAATTTTTAAATGTTTCATATTTCCAAATGTATGTCCTTGCTCTTGTTTCTTTTTTATTTGTTTCTTACTAATGTTTACTCGTGCTATAAACAGACACTATGGTATGAATGAATAACCTTGAATCTTAGGTATCTAGGTTTGTTTTATATCCTATGATATGGTCAACATTTGTAAATACTCTACTGGTATTAGAAAAAAAAACAATCTAGAGGCTTCAAAGCAAACCTTTTATTTTATTTTATTATTTTTTTTGAGACAGGGTTTCTCTGTGTAGCTTTGCGCCTTTCCTGGATCTTGCTCTGTAGACCAGGCTGGCCTTGAACTCACAAAGATCCACCTGCCTCTGCCTCCCGAGTGCTGGGATTAAAGGCGTTTGCCACCACTGCCCGGCCAAAGCAAACCTTTTAAATCAAGCATGCTACTTAAAAAAATAAAGAAAAAAAAATCGCAATGAGACCCCAGTAACATAACCACCAGCTTCACAAAAATAGTACAAAATGTGAGTAAGGATGTGGGCTGTCAGTGATGTGGTCTGGATGGTGGATTTGGATGTTTTATAACCAGTTTGGGTTCAGGTACAAGTGAGAAGGGATGTGCCCTCAGGCTTCTAGAATCTTACCTGAGAGACTCGGAAATGTGTGCAAGAAAGCTCACACCTAATGTTCTAAGAACTCCCAAATGTCTGACAACTATGGTATGGGCAGGTTACACTGTGGAGTGCTTGAAGATCTGTCCCAAACACATAGCACAACACTGAAGAATCTCAGGAATACGATGTTAAGTGAGAAAGCAAACTGTGGGAAGCAGCGCCCACTGGTTGCATTTATGTTAAGCTGGAATGGAAAGAGGTTAGAGCTCTGGGATTATGTGACAATGACCAGGAGAGTGGTGATACTTGATGGTGACCGGGAGGAAAGGTCACCAGGGCACAGGTGTCTTTCCAGGCCACAGTCAGCTACTTGCTTTAGCAGGTGGTTGGGTTCATGCTTTTTGTTGCACCTTGTGTACTTATACACTTTCCAGATAGTCTTTTGTAAGTTCTTAATTATTAGAATAATTTTTAAAAATTTACAATTATAATGAAACATTTTAGACTTTACTCACGCACAAATAATCTTTGAGGAAGAAAGAAACAGACTTGCAAACTCCAGTGTGTTGTTTATCCTCTGGTTGGTCCTGGAATCTTGTATCTAGTCACCTAAAAGGACTCATGTGGGGATGTTACCAGAAAGAAAATGATTGACCTCCTAGAGGAAGGGCCAAAGTTGGGGTTTCTAGGGAATCTTCCCTTGGCCTCAGGATGATCAGTGAGTAATTCTAAACGAGGCTTCTAAAGGCAGGATGGCTGTGGCTTTTAGAGCATACTTGGTGGGGGACATGCTGACTCTGGGACCTGAAGGGAAGGTTTTCTTCTTTTAATGATGCTAGTTCTGGATGTGTGAGCTCCTGGGACATGCCTCCCTGAAAAGCCGGAAGTTTCTTTTTGATCTCCTTTCTTATAGAACCTAAATTTCAACTCAGGTCTCCAGAAAGCGTCAAAGACTCCACCGCTACCACTCTGAGATCTTTGTCTCCTTCACCCCAAGATTATTGAGGGTGGAGGGCCTGGAGAATGAGCTCAGACATACAGAAGGGGCAGCTTGTCCTTTGAAGCATATCCATGCTGGCCTCCAACCTTCATCATGGTAACCGTTAGAGTTTGAATTTATGATGTTCTGCAAAGTAAGGGAAGTCTGAGGAGGAAGCATGATCTTTCCCAGTGCTTGGGCATTCAGCTTATACTATGAATCTTCTTGAGCTGATTATGACCACCAAGTGGCCCTGAGGCTGAGTTGGAGTCTTCTCCATGCCTCAGAATGATTTCTCAGAATAAATGAGCAAGCTCCCTCTATGGAAGCCACAGGCTCACTCTTTCATTCATGTCTACTGTCTGATCTTTAGAGTGGGCCCTTGTCTGATTCATTTTCTCTCTCTCTCTCTCTCTCTCTCTCTCTCTCTCTCTCTCTCTCTCTCTCTCTGTATATTTTGATATATATCAATATCTGTACCTATATCCATAGTTGCTATATATGTGTGTACATAGTGTTTATGAAAAACAATGCCTGTAGAGACCAAATGTCCATATCTAGTGTCTTCCTCTATCCCTTTCTAGCTTACTTTTGAGACAGGTCTTTTGCTGAATCTGGAGCTCATGGGGCTAGCCATTGCTCCAGTGATCTCCACTTTGTCTATCCCCAGTGCTGGGGTTATAGTCATGCCTCTGACTCCGGCTTTTATGTGGGTATCTGGGAACCCAGACTTATTAGGTGCTGGTTGGATGATCTCCCAAGCTCCTTCTAAGAAGGGATACAGACACACAGGGACAATCTACCCTGAGGATGGGGAAGCCAGGGTCAGAGACTGGGTGGAGCTGTACATGTACCAGCTGAGGAACTCTATTACTGGCCACAGCAGAGGTAGGGAAGACACAGAATGGATCCCCAGAGCCTTCTGGGGAGGTACCCTGACAATACTTTAACTTCTGCTCTAGAACTGGAGAGAAAAATACTGCTGTTGGTTCTAGATGCTGGTGGCAACTGGAACCAGTCAGTTGCAGGTCATTTTTTTTTTTTTTTTAACAGCAGCCTGAAAGAACTAACATGTCACCACCCAGCGCTTAGCTGGGCTCACAGCGTCACCACCACTGCAGACGCTGTTTGTTTGGAAGCCCACAGGACCCCCAGAAATATCTGTCACATCGTGTCTCCCCAACACCCAAGCCATTCCTAAGAGGCTAGGCAGGTAGAGAAAACCTTTCCTTATCCTTCAGAATGACAGACACCATCCCAGCCCCATTCTGGAACAGTCCTTGCAGGTTCTGGTGTGCTATTCCCTTGGGACACCCCAGGCCCTATTCCAAGCTTCCTTAGGAGCAAGATATCAGGATGATCAAGTGAAGCTCATCCAGCTGCCCAGGCTGCCCAGGCAAAAGAAAGTCCCCAGCCTGGCTGTTGCCTGGGCCCCAGGCTCTGCGATCTGATTTCTCCCTGAACAAAGCATCTTATTCAGGCCGTATGGTAGACTCCCTGTTATCTGAGAGTGGGTCCTGGCCCAGTCAGGGAGCTGTGATTTGGGTTGCAGCCTGCAGGAAAGCTACCCTTTGGTTTGGCCTCTCCTGTTCCACTCCCAGAAAGAAATGTGATACTTCTGAACTTTAGGACCCTATTCACTGAGGGTCCCGGGGGTGCTGTTGCTTTCCCTGGCAAAGTGAAGATTTATTTTGATCCTAGAATGGCTTCAATCCTAATGCTTGGGAAATTGAAAATGTTGCCTGTAGGATCCCTTGTATGCAAGTTTCATTCCTGAACTGATGGTGAACAGCAAATTTTATCCCTCAGAGCCTGTTCTTTGGGTTTACTGAAATCTGGGCTGGGGTTCCTTTGTTATGTAGAGCGATTTTGTAGTAGTTCAATAGTTAGAAAGCATCCTAGCATTACTGTCCCCCGCCATGCCACTGTGTGTGTGTGTGTGTGTGTGTGTGTGTGTGTGTGTGTAGAGGGGTGTCTGTGTGCACATGCATGTATGTGCATGCATGTATGGCAGATACATGTGTGTGGTGTGTGTGTAGGCCAGAGGCCAACCTCAGGTGCTGTTTCTCTGGTGCTGTCCACTTCATTTCTCTTTATTGGTTGAGATAAGGTTTCTCCCTGGCTAGGCTGGCTGGCCAGCAGACCCCAGAGACCAATCTGTCCCATCACTGAGATTGCAAGCACACGCCACCACGCCCAGCTTTTTCAGGTGGATTCTAGGGCAAAAACTCAGGCCTTCACTTTACTAACTGAACTCTTTTTCTCTAGCCCCAGGCATTCTTATTTTGTCTTTTTGAAGTATCCATATTATGGATGAGAAGGGTGAGTCCCAGAGCCAGAGTGCAGGGACAGGCTGGCTGGGCTGTGCATAATTCTGGGAGACCTGGACTTTGGTTTTTGTGGGAAGAGTCTGAGTCCCAGGCTGGGGACAGGGCTGTTTGATGTGCTTCACAGTTCCTGCTGTGCACCTGGGGCAGGGTAGCTCTTAAGGAAGTGTTTATTTCCACCTCCTATTTTCTCCCCTGCCTCCCAAGCCCCGTCTTAGTCAATGTTCTATTCCTGTGAAGAGACACCATGGCCATGGCAATGCTTGTAAAGGGAAACATTTCATTGGGGCTGGCTTATAGTTCAGAGGTTTAGTCCATTATGCTCATGGCAGGAAGCATGGTGGCATGTAGGCAGATATGGTGATGGAGAAGGAGCTGAGAGTTCTACATCTGGATCAGCAGAGACACTGGGCCTGGTTTGAGCACCTGAAACACCAAAGTGACACTCTTTCTCCAACAAGGCCACACCTACCCTAACAAGGACATGCTTCTTAATAGTACCACTCCCTAATGACCAAGCATTCAAATATATGAGTCTATGGGGACCATTTCTAGTCAAACCATCATAACCTTTAACCCATTGTCTAGCCACATAAGAGGAAAGATGGAGCCCAAAGACAGGTACTATCTTGCCCAGAGTAACTCATCTTAGGTGAAAGTATTTTTCATGTTAGTGGCTAGAACTCACAGGATGAAGAAAAGGTAGATGAAGCAAGGGAAATTACTTAAGTAATTCTTCCATGGAGGAAGCATGATTTACCCACAGCTTGAAGCATCCATCTTGGGCTCTTCTACCCACTTCCTCTGAGGTAATGAAACTCATGGAAAGAGAAGAGGCCCGGGTGAACTCACTCAGAGGATATTCACCGGTCTAGGCTAAGAATTTTCATTTGTTGTTTTACATTTCTTCATCTGCTTTTTTATCTTTCTCTCTCAGCTCTGTCTTAAATAACAGACCAAACAACACAAAACAACACAAACACCCCGAATACCACACACATAACAGGGTTGGAGATGTAGCTCAGTTGGTAGAATACTTGCCTAGGACTGATGTACAAACAAAGCTCTCACCTCAAAGGGAGTAAGGTGTAGTTTATTCTGATGCCAAATGTGAGTGGCCATGGCTTGGGAGTGCAGATTCAGGTCACCCCAAATACCACATTTCAATGTGGCAGCAGTTTTATGAAGGGCTTACAATAACACAAGAAAGAAAATTATAAATCAGGGCATTTTAATTTTAATGCCTTGTTGGAAGCAGCAGGCAGAGTAGTGACAGTGAAACAGGGAATCTCTACTCCAGACTTTGGATGATATCTGTTGATAATCTCAAGATCTTGGGGTTGGTGGAAGACAGGGGTCTGCTTGTACATCCTTACAGTTATGATGTTAGGTCACACTCAGAGGTGGGCAATGAATGACTATTAAGAGGGGTGGGATAAAGTTAACTCAAGTTAAAATAATCTCATTGGTCAGGAGTGGGGCCAGGAAGCTAAGCTGGCCACAAGAGCCCACCAGGCTCTTGCAGAGGAGCTGGGAAGCTAGAAGCTCTTTGTCCCCTGGAACAGGGTGTAGGATCTCATACCACGGGCCTACGTAGATTCTCCTGGAATCCATTTCTTCCCCTGACTGATCAGTCTTTGATACCTAGATGAACCAGGGTACCAGGGCCTCACTCCTGCTCCTCCTGGGGTCCACCAGTGCCTAGTCTTCCTGTTGCCCTTCTCAGAGTTCCCAGCATTTACCAGAACCTCTTGGGGTTGGTTCCTCATTGGCTGGTGTCTATACCCAGTTCTTCCCAGTGGCTTATCTATAGGGCCTCGTTATCTGGACTCAGTAAGTGACAGGATCTAGAATAATCTAAGAGACAAACCTCTGGGCAAGGGAGATTTTCTATATTGGATAAATTGAGGTAAGAAGTCTTACCTTAAATGAAGTTGGCACCATCCTGTGGGATGGGGGACCAGAATGAAGAAAAAAGGAGAATCGAGTTGAACAGCAGTGTTCATCTTCCTCTCTCTGCTTCCTGACTGCAGGTGCGATGTGACCAGCTGCCTGGTGCCCTGCTGCTGTGACTTCCCACCGTGAGGGACCTGGCTGGTCAATGAGGCACCAAAACAAACGCTTTCTTCCTGAAGTTGTTTTTGTCAGAGTCTCATCACAGTAACTAATGAAGTACAGAACCCGGAATATCAACCTGGATCCTCTGTGAACTTGACCTTCAACTTGCCCTTGAGTCCTTCATGAGAAACCAGTCCTTTCCTCTCCCTTCTCTACCTCCCTCAATTTATTGAATTTCTTCTATGTGCTAGGAGCTGGGGACACAGTGGTAACCCATGAGTCAAACACTGTCTCTCTTCCTTCCATGATAAATTACAGGGTCAGAGATGATGTGGTCAGCACTGTGGACTCCAGAGAGTTTTGAGAATGTGCCCAGATTTGCCCTGGCCTAGGGTAGTAGTCAGGAGAATGGCAGTTGCTATGGGGTCCCCTTCCAGGCTGCTCCCACACCAGCACTGGTTCTGCTTTCTCTATGGAAGCTCTTTGCCCTGTGCACACTAGCGCCTTCTAGAGAGGGCTTCCTGGGGGGCAGCATCTGAGGGGGCAACCTTTTTCCTCCAATTTTTTTCTCCCTCACAACCTCCCCTTTTTAAAAATATTTTTTTCCTGAGATTAGGGGTCATCCATAAGGATCACAAGGTTGTGTGTGATAGCACTGAGGAGTTACAAGGCAGTATCCTTTCCTCTAACGGCCAAAGCCAGCACCGAGGCACTAGCCTCTGCTAGCCGAGAGCAGCTGGATTTCCACCACCGGTAAGTGATCCATCAACTGGATGACTTTGTGCAGTGCCCAACTGTCCATGTGACTGAAGCAAGCCTGGACATTCAACTTCTGAACCCAGCTTGAAGAAGGCCAGGGACAGAAGATAAGAAAAGCCCCACTGAGAAGCCTTGACAAGCAAACTGTTCAGTTTTCCTGTCTCCTAAGGTCACTATCTGCTTTCAAATGACCCTTTCAGTGACTGCCAGGATCTAATCCCCTTGGTCCCCAGCATTTTTGATCTGTGTTCCAAGAGTTGCAGCCCAGGGCCATGCTGAAGGTTAATGTGGGAAGATCATTCACAGTGAAGCAACAACATGTTGACCCATGTGCTCAGGCCAGGGACAAATATCTAGGGGCTGCCAGATCCAGAGACCAAGCAGATGAAGTGGTGAGGGAGTCTGGAATGGATGGCAAAGTCCAGAGTCTGCAGGGTCATGGCCACTCCCTAGCCTGGGTATGGTTCCCACACATGGATGTCTCCTTGGCTGGCATTACTTCTTTCTGGGCATGTGCCTGATGCAGTTGCAGGGGCTCTGCTGCTTGGAAGGGTAGGGCCCACTCGACTGGTCCTCTGTTGTCTGAGATTCTTGGTAATTTTCGGACAAGAGGCTTACACGTGGCCTCCAGTGGAAAGGTCCAGAAAGGCACCCACCTACTCCTGCAGGATACTTGGAGTTTGTCATTTCTACCAGGGTTGAAGTGCATGGGAGTGAATTCACTTGCCCTTTCTAGTTCCCAGATGGAGAACTGAGAACTGAAGGGGAGGAATGCATCTAAGATACTGATTTTTACATGAGACAATACCAAATGTGTGTTTTTATCTTCGCTTTACATGACAGGAAACTGAGGTCTGAAGTTCAGCCAGCCTGTGAGGATGTTTGACGTCACATTCCCTGATTTCCAAGGAATGTCAACTCCTAAGCTGTTTCCTCTCCTGCACTGGGGGCAGGTGCTGGGGACTTTAGGTGAAGATGCAGTATGCCTGGCCTGAGCACTGCTTTCTGATTGCAAAGATCCCAGGGCAGCTCTGTCCTGCTGCTTTTTGCTGATGGGCCCTGAGCCTCAGTGTTCTGAATTGTGAAATGGGGACGAGGGTAGATCTCACTTGTGGATGCTAGTGAAGTTTGCTTTAGGAAAATGGGTGGATAATGTGGCTATGTGTCAGGCATGTGGAGTCCAGAAAGCTTCAGGACCAAAGACCATACGAGGGAGCTCCGGCAGGCATGGAGGCAGTGGCTGTCCCTGCCAAGTGGCTGCAGATGCTCTGGGCGGGGAGCATAGAACTGCAGCTGGGAGACTGTTCTTCTTCCTTCTCTTTTTTCTTCTTGTTTTTTCTTGCATTTTGTGAAGTGGCATCTGTCAGTGTTATAGGTAGGAACACTGCATGGACTGAGCCCCCTGGAGACTCAGCCCAGAACTCAGAAAGATGATGGACGATGCAGAGTGAATTGAACACAATTCTAACAACAGAGCAACGCTGGCACACAGCCTACACATGAAGGTGCCGTTCTAAACACTTCACATAATTTAACTTATTACTCAGAGAGCCTCTTAGATGGTGACTCTTACACACAAGGAAATGAACAGAAAGTTTAAATAACTTGTCCACAGCCCTGCATCTGGTGACAGCTGGGCAATCAGCCTGTAATTGTCCCTATGCTTTGTCTTTTTACTATCTATCTGCCTATGCTAGACACTCCCTTTGGCACCAGGAGGGAGCCAGGGAGCCAGAAAACCTAGGTCACCTTGGTTACTGCAGAAATGAAGAAATCAGACCCAGGCTTTGCCATGGACCCCTCCAGCTTTCCAGTGCAAATCCTTCCTGAGTTGGAGGGAGCCTGAGGCTGAAGCTCCTGAGTGTGGCTAAGGCCCTCCTCTGGAGGGTCCAGTCTCCCTACCCACATGCCGAGTCCCAGGATGACACACAAGGGCCCCCACTTTCTTGGATTGTTCCCATGGCATGAATTGGGTACCAGGCTCGAATGGGCTTCAGAGCTAGGTCCAAGCCCTCCCTGCTGGAGCTGATTTCAGAAACCAGGGCCCCAGAGGCTTCTAGGGCCAGTGCTCCCTGTCATTTCATGGCTCATTCTTACAGGCACAAACGTGGCTCTCAGAGCTGCTCCAAGGCCTGGATGACTTCAGTCAGGCTGCAGAGATGCACATTCCTAGGAAGCTTCGGCCCTCTGGGTCCCTGAGGCTCCTAATCTTCCAGCTTCCAGCCTCTCTCAGGAAAGAGGACAACTGGGGAGGTGGAGAAGCAGGTGCCAGAGTGGTTACACAGCCTGGGTATGGCAGGTGACCTCAGGCTGGCTGGGCACAGGACTTGGCCTCTCCCTCTGTCCAGGCATTGTGTACTCAAATGCCGGCAGTTAAGCTTTCCAGGGCATCTGGGGTGCAGGGTGGGCCTGTGTGGGGACACCAGTGTCAGGCTGGACAGCCTTATTAATAGGGCATCTCTGAAGACAACAGGGCTGGGACTCTTCTGGAGTGGAAACTTTGAGAGCAGACTCTATCATTCACTAGGACAGTGCTGTGAGAGGACTGGAGGGCAGCCGGCTGGGCTCAGGCCAGGAAAACGTCTGGAGGCCAGATTCCAGGCCAGAGGCCAAGTGTTCAAAGTGCCCCTAGCAGTCACTCTCTCTCTCTCTTTTTTTTTTTTTTTTTTTTTTTTTTTACCTCTCTGACACCAGCCTGGGGTAGAGATTCAGGCAGGAGTCACCTTGAGATTAAATGCTTCTCTGCCCCTCACAGCAGTGTAGTCTTGGGGACGTGATTTATCTTTTCTGAAACTCAACTCTCCTCCCCATTCATGTGCCCACAGGGTCATGAGTAGGTGAATCCATGTAACCTGAAGCTCCTGGTTTACTAACGCATTAGTTGGATCATGCCACTTGCTTACAAGCTCCTGCTTTGGGCTGGGGCTGTAGTTGAAGTGCACAGAGCCCTTCGTTCAAGCCCCAGCACTAACTGAAACTGGTGTAGTGTGTGCTTATAACCCCAGCACTCAGGAAGTAGAGGTGGGAAAATCAGTTCATGCTGAACAACATAGTGGGTTCAAGGCCAGCCTGGGCTACATGAGGCTCTTTCTCTAAACCAAATAAAATAATAAAAGCTTATGCTGGATCAGAGAGGCTCCAGTGGCCCCATCCTGTGGTGCTGAAGATGGACGGAGCATGTAGCCTGGAGAAGGGCTCTGGAGGAGGCTTCTGCAGAGCATCGAGGCACGTGCTGCTCCGATAACAACGGTGCTGAGTTCTGTGCCCACTGGTGAGTTCCAGGTACCCAGAACCGTAAGTGCAGCTGCTCTTCCAGGATGTGGGACAGGGGAAATCCTGCTGTCACCCCTTTCCTGACACACACAGCCTGCCATGGAGCAGGTTTTATGAGATACACGCAGGCGATTTTACAGCAGCATTTGGAGGTGGAGGACCAACAGGATAAAAATCCCCTCAATCTGGGTTTTACAGAGCAGTTCTGCCAAGCTACACTTGCTTCTAGGACCTTACTTCCCACTCCCCTTGCTCCCCAAGGGTCTGGTTCATAGTACCTCCCCTATACCCCAGGATATTTGCATTTGCTCTTCTCTTCCTGTCCGTTCCCTCCTCCGGACCTCTCATCTTTTGGTTCCTGCCTGTGACACCCTGAGCTGTTAGGCATCACCTCCCTAGAGAAGCTTTCTTTGATCCCCTGTGCCAAGTAGCCTCCTGAACTCCCTGTTCAGTATTTTGTTCATAGCACTTAGCAACTGAAATATTATTTCTGTGGTCTTTGCTCACTTCTCTTGTCTGGAACGGATCTGTCCTGTCTTGTTTATTAGTTCTTCCTGGGTTTAGGACAGTGTTGGTCCCATTGTGGTAGCTCAAATGTCACTCAATGATTCGGGAGTTCCTGGAACAGTCCTAATTATGAAGTGGGTTCTACACAGCCTCTCTCACTGTCCGAGGTAACAACATTGGCTAGGGAGGGGCTCAGTGGGTAACGTGCTTGCTGTACACGTATGAAGACCTAAGTTGGGGCATCAGCATCCACGTACACATGGACACATGACCTCTGCCTATGACCCTGGGGGCTGAAATAGCACGTTACTGCTTCAGAGAGAGTGATGGCAAATCTCTTGTCAACTTGACTACATCTGAAATTGACTACAACCCAAGCAGCTGGGTACAACTTTGAGGGATTTTCCTTGATTGAATTATCTGAGGCCCAAAGACCCACCCTAAATATGTAGCCACCTCCCACCCCATTCAGATAGCAGCTTACAAAAAAGGACAAGGAAGAAAGAAGACTTTGGTTTTTGCCTGTTTGCTCTCACTCTTGCTGACAAGGTCATCTACTCTGTTGCTGAGGCATTCCTTCTCTGGTGTTAGAACCTACTTTTTCATACAGTGAAGACCAGCTGAGATATCTAGCCTGATGTACTGAACAGCTACTAGATTCTTGACCTTTCCGTTGGGAGACAGCTGTTGTTGGATGAAACAGAACACAGCTGTATTCGTCAGGGTTCTCTAGAGTAACAAAACTTATAGAATAAATCTCTGTATATAGAAAGGGGATTTATTAAAATGACTTGGAGGCTGTGGTCTGGCTAATCTAAGAGTGGTTGCCTATGAACCAAAGGTCCAAGAATTTAGTAGTTGTTCAGTCCATGAGACTGGATGTCTCAATTGGTTTTCAGGATACACCAAAGTTCCTAAGAAGTAGGCTCTACTGCTATCGAAGGAATGGGCTTGCTAATGAGGGAAAGAGCAAGCAGGCAAAGAGCAAAAGCTTCTGCTTTCCACATCCTTTTATAGGCTTCCAGTAGGAGGACTGGCCCAGATTAGAGTTGGGGATTCCCAGCTCAAAACATCTGGATAAAGGCTTGTCTTCCCATCTCAACATCTGGATTAGAAGTGGATCTTTCCATTTCAAAGTAAAAGTCCCTCACAGGTGCTCCCCTTCATTTTTGGGTTTTAAGTAGTTCCAGATGTCAAGTTGACAACCAAGAATAGCCACAACAGCCTGTAAACCACTATAAGGAATCCTCCCATAGATATACTCATTATCACTTCTGTTCCTCTAATGCTAATACAGTGAGAGACCCTGTCTCAAAAAACAAAGTAGATTGTGACATTGGACATCATCCTATTCTCAACCTCTGGCCTCCATATGCACACATACATATAATACACACACACTCACATTCATGCACACACTCACACTCATGCACACGCTTTCACGCTCACATGCTCACATACACTCACATATACTCACACACACACATTCACACAACACACTCACATACACAACACATACATTCAAACTTATACTCTCCCACACACTCTCACACAACACTCATATTCTCTCACATACACTCACACAACACACACTCTCACGTACACAACATACACATTCAAAGTCATACTCTCACAAACACTCTCACACAACACTCACATTCTCTCACACACACTCACAGTCAAACACTCATACACATATTCAGACACACAACACACACCCTCACCTCCTCACACCCTACACGTCATTTGCACAACAATTTGAATTCCATTGTTCTTGTGATGTATCCTCTCCAGCTCACATCTGTGAAGACGACAGGCATTTGCTTCTCACTCCTTTCTCTCTAGTATAGTCTGGCTTGGGCTCAGCTGGAGCAGTCAGCCTGAAGTCAAACTCCCTGGCTCTTGGTGGGATGGGAGGGAAAGCGTTTCACATGTTTATTATATTTTCCCTCCTCTGCCTGAACTCCTGCTGACAGGGCTTGTGAATTGCCTGGGAACCTAGTGTCTGAGCTTTCTCTTGGACTTAGAAGTCCATCTCTAGAGGACACAGTGCAATGTCCAGACCACTCCACATGAGCAGGAGGTAAGAGAGCAGTCCCAGGGAAGTGGAGGGCCAAGGGTCATGTGTTCCTCATCCTTCTTTGTACTTTTTCACTGGGTGGCTCTGCACTCCATAGCCTCTTGCTATTCATGTGCAAAATGGGGATAAATATCTACTCCTTTCCAGTGGGAGGAAGTCAGGATCACAGAGGGGGAGAACTTTGGAAGAGGACACTCCAAACCCTGTAGCCAACTGGTCTCCACTCCTCCCAAAGCATGAGTTTCAAATGGCAACAGAGGCAGGCTGGAATTCCAGACCATATTCTGAGGCACTTCACCTTTGTGCATCTGGACCTTCTCATCATGTGTGAAAGGGAGTATCATGGTTCCTATTTGATGACATCCTGAGGATGAAGTGAGGTAGATGATGGTGTGAGGCTCGCTCCTAGGAGTCTGCAGTTCTCCAGTGGTGAGGCGTTGCTGTTATCATGATGTCAATGAGGGTGGCCAGTAAGTCCTCTGCTTGTTGGTGAACCCGGATGGCCAGTTCAAGCTCTTTCCAAAGAGGTGGTGGGCTAGGGCGTCTTGCCTTCCCTCATTCCCATGCTGCCATCTGCTGGTGATGCTGAATCAGAATTTCAGCTTCTTAAGAGATCAAGGTGGAAGGGAGCAGATATATGCTGTGTGCCACACAGGGCCTAAGCTCTGCTCTCGGGGCATGCAGCAGGTCCATTGACAGGGAGCCAGGAAGAAGATAGAAGCCTCACGTACTGAGGCCACCATTAGCATGAAGAGATACTTGGATGCTTGTCTACAGCAATGAGCAAGTCAACCTCAAGTCTCATCCATTTTACCTTCTAAATAGACCATCTGCAAGGCCTCTCCTAACTTAGCCTATCATCTTCTGCCTCTTGAAGACACAGAATCCTATTCTTGGCCTCCTTACCTCTACATAACACTGAGGAGTTAAAAAAAAAAAAAAAGGTAGACCTAATCGTTCTGTGTCTAGTTTAAACAACACATCACCACTGTACCAGATCCAAGCTCTCTGCCTGGCACAGAAAACTGTTCAGTGCTCAGCCCACCCATTCAGTCTTTTCCCCACCCCACCCCTCCCAGGCCTTGCTCACGGGTCTGCCATCCAGCCACACACCTCTGTTCCATCTGCTGCCTGGCTGACCCTTAGGCACTTGAGGGAGGGGCTTCTGTGGATATTACCTTCTCTCAATGCCTTCCCTGCCCCAAGACTGGGGCAGGTGTCTTGGGTCCTTCTCACTGATAATCCTGGTGTGTATATGGCCCCGATCCACAAGGCAGTGGTCCCACGTTCCTTTATGCTTCCAGAAGCCCAGCAGATGATTAACGACCGAGGAGCGAGGAAGCTGAGTTTGAGGGGTGTGGACCCAATACTCTGCAGTCACATTCTTGGACTCAAGTCCTCTCTGCCTCCATCCTGGGCTGAACGTGTCATCCTTGTCATGGCTGCAACATCCTAAAAATGATGCTGACTCTCACAGTGTTGGTCATATTTGTGACACTCACCCCTGCTAGGCTGTGAGGCTGCCGCCAGTATCAGTCTTCTTGGGAGCTTCAGAGACTCAGGTGATGGCCACTTGAGTTCATTTTCCACACTGAGGATATGTCAGTGGGGCATTGTACCTTGTCACAGAGGAGGAGATTGGTAGACCTTGAGCCACCATCTGCTTGTTACTTTCAGCATGGGACAGCATGTGGCCTTCCCACAGCAGAAGCACCAGCTGTGGCTCCCTGCCTACAGCTCCTCACTCTGAGAAATGACCCAATAACCACAGCTGTTCTGCAGAACGGCACTCTCATCTCTTAGCCCAGGTATAGATGAAGTCTCACCTAGCTAGCACACCCAGGAACCCCAGGCTCTTCTGTCAAAGAGTCTCCTGGCAACTAGGGAACCCTGCTAAGGGAAAGGAGGGATAGGATACTCCAGGCTAAGTGCCCGCTTCTGATGGAGCCCATGGGCTCAGACCAAGACAGTGAGCTGGCCTTCCATCTCTACCGTCAGTGATCAGCTGAGGGCCCTTGGAGGGTCAGAGAAACCCAGGCCTTTGAGAAGGCCTTTCTCTAAGGAACAGGTCAAGCTGACCATTTGTGGTGGTGCTTCCTGTCAATTTGGCAGGGTCTAGACTCATTTAGGAGACAGCCCTCTGGAATGTCTGTGAGGCACATCTCTGAGTTAATTGAGACAGGGAGACCTCAACATGGGTAGCACTGTTCCATGAGTTGGGGGTCCCAGACTGAATAAAACTGAGAAAGGATGCTGAGTGCAAGCATTCATCAGTCTCTGCTCCATGACTGCTGATGCATGTGGCCAGCTGCTTTATGCTCCTGCCACCATGACTGTGCCCATTAGATTGTGGCACAAATAAACATTTCCTGCCGTAAGCTGTTTTTGGAATACACCTTGTCACAGCAATGAGAAAAATAATGTAGCGTTAGAAGCCACCCTAGGGGCAGGGACCTGGGTGCAGTATTGCTGTTTCCCCTCCCCTGCTGTGTCCAAACCTCTTTCCTCAGTTCTGAGCTGGTTACATGTTCTCAGCCTTATCTAGTACACTGTTCAGTGTGTACACTGTCTTCATTTACAGCCAGATGGCCACCCAGGTCCTTTTAAAATAGTGACCTCTGATAAGAGCTACCTGCCTACTCCTGTCTCTGGCCATGAACTCACTTTAGAAGTCTTTATTGGCTCCTTTTAAGTCTTATAAGGTATCTTTGCTCATTGTAAATAAACATTTTCAGGAATACAAAGGTGCTTATGAAAACTGTCTTCCAATGTTAATTCCCACGGTGGATTTCTGAAGCATTGTGTTCATGTGAGTACAGGTGTTTATATGGGGCCCTCTTTGTTTCTGAAGACATTCTATGTTAGTCTGGATTGAAGGGGTTTAATGGGCTGCCTGAGTGGGCATCTTCCAGTTCCTCAGCTCACTTGCTCAAAGCTTCACACTGGAGCCTGTGTCTCATACCACCAAAGCCCCTGGTCCAGGGTTCCCAAACTATCTTCTCTCCACCAGGCCCTGGACATATGTGAAGTCCTCCCTGTGCCCAGGGCTTAGAAACTTACCACTTGAGACTGGGGCTTTCCCCCCAATAAACTTGACATCCTCCATATATGCTCCTATGAGCCCCTACTAGGATTTGGTTGAGAGCTTGGGAACTGGACCCTTCTCAGAGATCCTGGACATGTCTTATGATTTTTTCTCTTCTCATTGCACTTACTAGTCTACTGGCAGCTGACATTGACATCTTTTGTCCAATGACTCACTGTGAAGTGGACAAGAAGTGCCTAGGGATGCACATCACACCAACAGCAGCAGCCTTCCCTCGCCAAATAGTTGGCTGGGGTTGGTATATAAACACCCCACCTCTCCAGATCTGAAGAATGCCATCTTTGAGGTGTGTGTTCTACAGAGTCCCTGTTGTAGAAGAATTGTCTGTACAACCATTCCACTGTGGCAATAAAGCTACTTTGAATCAAAGGACAATGACTGGTGACCAGGATTAGCCATAGGTTCTTGGCAGACTGAGGAGGTCTGCTAGAGAGGACAGGAAGAGAGAAGGGGGATTTCCAGGGCTGATGGTTTGGGAAAAACATGGATCAGTCCTTGGATTTATCAGGTCTTTATCTCAATTTCTGACTCGAGTTTTTATTATACTGGGACTATTTAGATAGTTGTTACAAGTTCCAGAGTTCCTGGTGGGCTCTCACTCTAGTGTCCAGTAGTTGGGTTAGCAACACTAGCCCACTGGAGCATGTGGCTCTGGCTGGCCTTACCTTCCTCTCCCATCCTCCCTGCTTTGCTAAAAACCATTAGATTACATTCCTAAAGCTAGCTACCAAGGTCTATTCCCTTATTTGGCCACTTCCTCTTCCTGAGGCTGACTACCAAAGCCCAGCAATCAAAAGCCACCTTTGGCTCACCTAATTAACATGCTCAGTTAAAATCAAACACCTCATCCTAACACAGGGTTTCCCCCCTTACCTTTATAAACCTCCATTTGCCTATGTGCCATGACTGTCTCCTCTCTATTCAGAGGTGGTCCTCTGTCCCTCTGGGACAAATACCCTGTTCCCTTTCCCTTGTCCCCTTCCCCTTTTCCTTCATCCTCTATCTCCTTTACCACCACATCCTAGCCCATTCTAACACAGACCTCCCCTTTTCCTCCTCTTAAAACTACACCTGCAAGGTCATTTGCTGCTGTTTTCTGACTGAGTCAGAAAGCAGCCACTTTAACCTTTCTTCCCAGCTTAATAAAGGATCTCTCTGTGAAAACAGGTGTTTGGGTGTGGTTTGTGCCTAATTCAGGGTCTGGGAGGAATCCCCCACTGTTCAGAGGCTGTCCCTTTCCCCAGACACAATGCCTGTTCCCAAGTGCTTGTTTCAGATTCTGCCTCTGGGAACTCCAAAGCCAGGCAGAAGTAAGAATCTCCCTGCCTTAGATCTGTTTCCTTCCTCCTTTTCTCCAGCTTTGGGTCACCTCTGGCTTGTCTTAAAAGAGCACATCACGATGATGGTCTGCGTATCCTGTCTCCTAGGCTTTCCTGCTCCTGTCCATCTTGAGAACCAAGTTTTTTTGTGCCTGGCATTTTGTGAAATTCCAGGAAACCAGGCTCCATTCCAGCTGCCAGATGAGCTACCCCTACCTATCCAGATCCAGAACCCATGCTGAGACTAGACCTGTACAATCCCAGGGAGAACCACAGCACTTTGAGAGGCTGGAAAGTTCAAATTCAGCAAAAATAGAATTTAATCCTGCTCAAGTGGAGGCAGCCAGTCCTTCTGGAAACAACCACAGACAGTCTTGGAAGGTCTCACTTGTTTCACTCACAGCTGGTTCCACAGGCCCTGTGCAGCTGCCCATCTCCAAGCTGGTCCTTGTGGGGTACTGGGAGGCTGTTGTTTCCTCAGAGAGGAAGTAAGTCACATTGAGTGGGAGGATGGTCAGCACATCTCATATGGCTTCTCCCTTTCTTCCTCCTAGTCAGCTCCTATCAGCACAAATCCAGCAATCCTGGGCTCTGCTCTCAGGTCAGTTGGGCATTTCTTTGGCTCCCTGGCTCAGAAGGGCCATGGCCACCCTAAAATACCTTCCGTGGCACACAACCCTCCAGCTCTAGTAACTCCGGCCATCCTTCATATTTGTTTGTTTCTGGATTGTTCTTTAAGAACTAGGGAGAGAAAAGAAATGTTTCAGACAGTGGGCAAGGCTGTCTAGGTCTAATGAAAAAGCATTTGCACTGACCCTCAACACTCGGAGGGCTCTCTTACCTCTGCTATAGCCTCTATTTACAGATAGGGCAAGAAGCTCAGAGAAGAACCACAGCTTGCTTGAGGTCTCAGAAACAGGGTTGGAGCCTATTATGCCCCATGGAGGCACCAAGGATCGGGAGAGTTGGAGAGCTGTCACCCTTCTCCAAAGCCCCCACTAACCTCATTTAAGTCCCAAATCACAATAATAAAAGCACGGAAAAGAAGAATCCTAGCAATTATTGAGCATCAGCTTCATGCCTGGCACTATCGCAAGCTGCCTTATGTATTTAATGTACACAGCAGCCCTGGGAAGTGCATACTGTTATGGTTCCATTCTACTGTGCAGGAAACTGAGGCATAGAGAGAAAATGTCACTGTGTATGTTTCCCGCAGTTTGGAAATTCTTTATGTGATTTCTCTAATGTGTTACCAGTATGGCAACATAGGATATCTTTGGGGCCTTGCTGTATGGCCATCTGCTTTTGATGGATCTGGACCCTTTCCAACAAGGAGGAAGAAAGAGTCCCTGTCTGACCAGTGCAGCTTAGCTCTGCTCAGTGTCCTGACTCCTCTGTGTGTGCTAGTGCCCAGTCCAGGCCCTGCATTCTCACCCAGAGGTCATGGATATTCTCTCCTTTCTTCTCCTAGGTTAGTCTCTCTTGAACTAGGACTAATTTCTAAATATGGGTGATGGTTAATTTGATTACGCATTGGCTGGGCTGAGAAGTGGCTAGGAGGTCTATAAAGTATGAGTATTTTCAGAGAGGATTAGTGAAAGGGGCAGTTACTAATCCAAGCCATCCTATCCTCAGGTCAGGGGCCTGGATAAAAGGAAAAAGGAGAAGCTACTAGCCTGGACATTTGCTCTCTGCTCGCTGGCCTCCATGAGACGAGCAGCTTTGCTCTACCCTGATGGCCCTCCCTGATGGTTCTGTGTGGTGTTTCTGACCAATGATATAGCCTACAGGAGTGACTGTCCTTCCACCCCTGTAACTCTTTGTTCACTTAGCCCTCACTCAGACAGGGGCAGCCAGGAACCCACCTGCTCAAAGGGGCTTTTATTCTTGAGGTCTTTGGCACCTAAGAAGACCCAGCTGTCCCGGAAGCCCAGCTGATTTGCATAGGAACTCCCCATGTTGGAGAAGATCATCCTGATTTTGTCATTCATTCTGCAGAGGACCAGAGAGAACAGGGGGGTGAGACTGAGGGACATGGATGAGGGAGTGGGAACAGGGTGAGGCTCCCAATTATCTCCCTCACTCTCCACCTGCACACATAACACCTGCCTTCTGAGGCTCTCCAACCACTGGATTGGGATGGGGGCTGGAGAGGGGTTTGGACAGTGCTACTCTGTTTGCAGAGAACACAGGACATTGAGAAGGACTAACTTAAAGGTGGGTCTACCCTTCTCCCTTGTGGAAATCATCATAAACATGTCAACATGGCCACGAGGTTAACACTGGGATCCGTTCTGAGAGACGTGCTGTTAGGCAATCACACTGATTCAGTGAGTGAACACCAAGAGTGTGTTCACACAAGCCAAGCTGGCTAAGGCATTTACTAAATGATCTGATTCTAATGGGTCCATACAGTGAGTCATAACAAGCTATGTAGCCAAGTAGATTTTTTCTTGTTCTCATGTATTTGTACATGTATGATCGCATGTGTATGGACACACATGTATATATGTGCATATGCATGTGTATATGTGGTGGACCAAGGCTGATATGGAGAATATTTTTCATCACTCTTTTAATTTATTCTTTTGAGTCAGGGTTTCTCAATCAAACACAGAGATCACTGATTTGGCTAGCTTGGCTAGCCTGCTTGCTCTGATAATCCTTTGTCTTGCTTTCAGAGGCTAGAATTACAGGCTGGCTACTATGTCTGCCTATTATTGATGTTGGTTCTGGGAATTTGAACTCAACTCTCCACTCTTACTCAGAAAGCTCATTATCCATTCAGCCACCTCACTAGCCTAATGAATGCATGTATTTATTTTGCTCACTCAGCTCTAGAGGGCGAGTGTCGTGGTTTGAATAAGAAGGTCTCTGGGAGGCTCATATACTTGAATGCTTGGTCACAGACGGTGGAACTATTTGAAAGGATTATATGAATTAAGAAGTGTGGCTTTGCTAGAGGAAGTGTGTCACTGGGGATGGGCTTTGAGATTTCAAAAGCCCATGCCAGGCTCAATCTCATTCTCTCCCTCTTTCTACCTGCAGAATAGGATGTAGCTCTCAGCTACTTCTCCAGGACCATGCCTGCCTGTCTCTGCTATGCTCCCTGACACAATGATAGTGGACTAAACCTCTGAAACTGTAAGCCAGCACCAGTCAAATGCTTTCTATTATAAAAGTTGCTGTGGTCATGGTGTCTCTTCAGAGCAACAGAACACTAAGATAGTGAACATTCTTGCAAGTCATTAATATTTTTGCACACCATCATTTGCAATGCAATGTGTCTTCTTATATGCACATATGATGTGTCATCATGCTATAATTTCTGTAACCAGCCAGTGGCTATTGGATGGGGAGACTTTGCCGTCATTGCAATGTAGGTCACAGCATACCACCCACAACATTATTTCCCAGACTTCCCCAATTCTTTTCTCGGGATAATTAGCTGGAGGGCGGGGCTTTCAGAAGAGTAGGAGAGTGTGTTCAGGTATGAAGTATTTGGTTTGCATCACCATGTGGAGGTGACATTTCCCACTTACTTGGTGCCTGGGTCATCATAGGAGGCCACCAGCACCAGTGTGCTATCTGGAATTTCTTCAAGGAAGTTCATCAGGAGTTTGGGTTCTGGGAGAGGAAGAAAAGAAAGGCACTGGTCTTTAGGAGAAATGCTGCTGGATTCTTATTCTCTTCTACCCTAATGACCCAGGGAGGACCTGGGCCAGGCTGATGGGAAGCTCAGAAGTCAGATGGAGGCAATACAATGGGTGTAGTGTTTCCTGCAGCATTTATCCGAGGGCAGGAAAATGTGAGAACACAATAAGGGGACTTCATTCATGTGACCTGGATTCATGTGACTAGACATTAGCATTTTAAGTGCCCTGGGTATGGGGCGAGGCTGTAGCTCACTTGCCTGACATGCACAAAGGTCTGAGTTTGACCTAGTGTGATGGCATACACCTGCAGTCCCAGCACTTGGGAGGTAGAGACAGGAGGATCAGAACTTCATAGATCTCTACTGTCCAAGGCCTCATGGCATCTTCTAAATGACCACAGACAGTCTAGGCTGCTGTTCATCCTTGGTTACATAATGAGTTTGAAGTCCCCCTGGGCTACATGGGGCTCTGTCTCAAACAGCTCTCTGGGGTCTTCTGACAAGGATGAGCAATAGCTCTGCTTATGGCATCTTTGTGAAATTTACATGTGATAATCTGGGGCATACAATACATGCCTTTAAATGGAATTATAAATTGTTAGCAGAACTGGATACATAATTTGTGGAGTCCAGTGCAAAATAAAAATGCAAGGCCATTGATTTCAAAGTGGTTAAGAATTTAAAAACTGTGAATATAGCACATCAAACTATCAGCCAAGCTGTTCATGGAACTCAGATGCATGGATTCCAGCCCAAGGAGACCTCCTCTGCCTGTTGTGCTAAGGCAAGGGGGCGGTGATGTCCTAACAGTCAACCATATATATGCACAGAGATTTAAAAAAATAAACCAAAACTCATCTATTTGGAGAAGCAACATCTTCAGAGAGATGGAGAAGAGGGCACCTCTCAGAGTCAAAATTGTTAGGAAGTGAAGAACCACCAGTGCTTCAAGCATATCCCCTGGGCTACATCCAAGGCGGTGTGCAACAGCTCTCCAATTCCCCAGCTGGCTTCATTTTTCTTCTGTCTTACTGCTTGACGCACCATGGGCATTTCTTGAAACCAGCTTCTAAATAAGCCACTCAAACCCTCTTCTAAGGATCTGTGCCTGAGTCTAACTCAGACCCTAGGAAGGGGTCTAAAGCAGAACAACCCTCAACCTTCCCATCCTTGCATTTACAAGTGACCATTCCACAGGAAGGAGCTCACCACCATGACCTCAGTGCCAACAGAGGTGCCTACCTCCAGAGTACATGTCAAAGCTGCCCTTTCTCAGCACCTGTCCTGTAGTTCCTAGTGAAAAGAGAGAGTTATTACTTCCCATATCATGAGTCATCTTGCTTGTCATTTTGCTGAATCTGGCCCATGGGTACTGTAAAGCTTAAAACCAGAGTGAGAACTGAATGAAACTGGATCTTGTGAAGGTCATCAGGGGCACAATAGGGGCCTAATACTTTCTGGGCTGGGGCTGATTTGAGAGGTAGAACATACTGGCTGAACACCCAGAGCATAACAGAATATAGCCACTCAGAATCTGTATTCTGCCATGACAGCTGCTCACACATGAGTCAGCATTTTACCCTTAATTTTTGCATAAATTCAATGGGCTGTTAGTTTGAAATGGAATATATCTAAAACAGTAAGTGTACTAGATATATCTTCTGCAAAATTATAATAGTGGCATGTTTATAACTGTTCTCACATAAGTGGGAAATCTGCAAGCCAAATCTTCCAACTTTTGGAGGCTGTGGGATTTTCAGATATAAATGGTCCTCAGATTTCTGGGGTCTGGATTGCTTTTGGGGTTTTTGGGCAAATACCCTTGGTGATCTGGAGGAAAGCCACTGGTCTCAACCTTTACCACTAGATGGTAGTATTGCAGAGGGTTTGGCGATGGCGCACTTGCCATGGCTAGTGGCAAATCTTCCTGTAAATAGGAGCAGGCTCACCTGAAAAACCCTTGCAGCCTCAGAGCCGTATGGGGCTTTACATGGGGTCTTTAGAAGGGGCCATGTGTCTCTGTGAGTATGCTTATTTGTGAGTTTCTAGAGTCAGGGTAGAGGTGAGCAGCATAGTCTGAACTGTTTCTCGAAGGAAACTGCACAGTGAGAGGTTAGGAACCAGCCATGTTTAACTATGGCTAATTACTATGTATGAGGAGCCTGAAGCCCAGATCTATACACCTGCCTAGAGACACTGCAGTCCAAGGAGGCTGCCAGCTGGAGTCGGCCAGATCTGGGTTCAAGTTGTATAAAGTATATGCTCAACATGATGGCTTTGTGATAGGCCAGACAGGAAGTCCCAGTCTGGAACCTTTCTTCTCTCTTCCCTTCCCTGCTGCCTCGAAGGGGTGTCTCCTTTTCTCCTTGCTGTTTTTTTTTTTTAAAACTGCAGTTGACCATCCTCTGCTCTGGAACCTTCTGTGATTACACTTGCCTCACGTGTTGCATCACCGTTCCCTTACTGTGGTACCCATAGGGATCATGAAGCCAGGGCCTGGCTCATGCTAGATTGCATTCATACTTGTGGAATGAAGAGTGATATGTAATCAGCATGTGATCTCACTCTGCCACTGTGTGCACTGTGGCTTCATGTGTGTTGGTCTAAGCTGGAGTGGCCTTGAGGGTGGAGCCATGGTTCACAGCAGTGAACTCTTCGGCAGGAGCCTAGGTGATCAGGCCTGTCTGATCTGCTGCTCTCCCAATCCAGCCTTGCCTTATCCTGAGTTCTACAGGATGACCCAACAGGTGGCAGGTCCCTTTCCTGGGTCTCAGGTGTGACACTGGCCACTTACCATTCACCAGAGCAATGTTCAGGCCTCTACCCACGTTGTTTCTCACTGGACTCATGATACTGCAGATGAAGAAAGAAAGTAAAATAGGCTAGTATTCCCAGGAGCAGAAGGAATGCTCTGCTTTTGTGACGAGACCTTGAGAAGGCTTACCCATGGGGCCCAGGCCAAAGGCATTAGTGTTTCGAGATATTTGATTATACTGTGTAAAGATAGCCACTGTAATTGGTTTAATAAAAAGCTAAATGGCCAATAGTTAGGCAGGATTTTTGGGGCAGAGAGGATTCTGGGAAGAAGGGCAGAGTCATGAGGAAATGCCAGGGATATAGAGCAAGCAGCATTGACTTTATACAAAGTAAAAATAACTGAGCCACATAAAAGAACATAGATTAAAAGATATGGGTTAATTTGGGTTATAAGAGCTTTTAGAAACAAGCCTAAGCTATTGGCCAAGCTTTCATAATTAATAATAAGTCCCCATGTAGTGATTCGGGAGCTGACTGGTAGGAGAGAGAAAGACTCCCTACACACTGGGAAACACCTGTAGTGGCTTGGGCTGTAGGATTTCTTCCAGAAGGCTGTGGTGGGCTATGTTGTTTGTGTGGTAGCCCATTAGTCCATGGCACATTTGGGCCAGTCTGCACAGATAAAGAGGCAGAGTTTCTGTCTGGGATTTTGAGATGCTAGGGTAGGGTGCTCTCCCACCCCAGGAGTCAAGAAAGTAGAGACTGGAGAAATTTTGCCATCCTAGAATGATTGGGTTCCCACCAGCTCAACCTCCACATTCTGTGTTCTCCCCTTTCTCAGGATGATGGTATTTTTCCACTCCCAAGGCAGCAAGGAACCAGTGTGGGAATGCTCTCATCCTGGTGAGGCGCTAAGGTGGTGTGAATTTGTCACAATGTGTGGCAGCCGCCTTCATTCACAGAGAAGTCCCATTTTCGGTTGAGGAAAAACAGCCAATAGGAGAAAACAGAGTCAAGGATGAGGTGAGCGCAAACTTGATGTCAGTTTGAGCTCCTTGATCCTGCTCACCCTGAACCTCTGGCTTCAACTACACAGACCAGTACTGACCCTGTTTTGCCTAAGCAAATTGTGTATAGGCTCAGCATCGTGTTGGAAAGACCCATCTGTTCTCCATGGCAGGATAAACATAACTGTTGAGGCTTGGAAGAGGTTCATAGATTTCCCCCACAGGGCATCCCTTACACCAGAAGTCCAGCAACTTGTCTGTTAGACAGACCTGCCTTCAGCTTGGCAGGTGACCCTGACAGAGCCTCACTGGTTTTTTGTTTTTTGTTTTGTTTTTGTTTTTTAACAGCAGGGACAACAACAGCTCAGCCACCTGTGCAGGGAAAGGAAGTGGACAACAGCAAGGACGGCTGAGCTGGGAGCTCTGCGGCTGACCGCTGTTTGTGACACATACCTGGTGTCCAAGGTGACCTGGGAAAGGCATGGGCTTCCTCACAGGCCTGCCCTGACAGGACTTTTCAAATGGATGAATGAATGAATGTAAGCAAAGAAACACAGCCACCCTGGGTACTTACATTTCATTTTCAAAGCACATAGAGGGGCCCACGACATTGGCAGCCCCACTGCTGATTTTAAATGCGAAGAAGTTGTCTAGGCAGGGCTTGCTGAGCCCACACTTGGTCTTCGGGGTACCTGGGAAGGTAACACAGAGTTCTCATATCGGGGGAGGGGGCTGGGCCTTAGGGTTCTGTTCTTCATTGGGCACTGTAGAGCCTCCACCAACAGCATCCAAATATACAGCACTCTGGTTGAGGGTCTGGCCACCCCAGAATTAATGTGAGGGCTTTCTAAGAGAGGCTGCTTCTGCAGAGCTTGCTGAGAGCCTGGCACGTCCCTTGCTGGATGACCCCAGTAGATTCTGTGCCTGGGCTTTGGTCCTTCTTCATAGGCTGAATATGGAGCCCATTGGCTTGGCTTTGGGCTGGGAAGGATGATATGGATAGTAAGATAGCAAGCTGTGGGTCTTCCTGGCCCTCATTGTCAGGGAAGAGTCTAGGCTCCAGGGACCACAGCTGGAATTCCCAGGACTTGCTTGGCCAACTGCAGCTAAGTCCGACAAGCTCTGTGTCAATAGGACAGCTTAGGCAAGCTTTTCTGGAAATGATTTCCTGTCCATCCAGCCTCCACTATCAGGCTGCTGCATGAAGGAAAGTGATGCCCAAGGGAAGATCTCAGGGAAGCCAGGATCTGCTTGCTGAAGGGGCTGTCTCCATGGCTGTTCTGAACCCTGGTGCCATTGCTCTGGGTACTGCCAGGAGCACTGTGTGTGTGTGTGTGTGTGTGTGTGTGTGTGTGTGTGTGTGTGTGTGTGTTGAGGGAGAATATCAGGAACTATAAACTGCTCTTTCACCAATCTGCTATGTAGCTTTGCTAGAAGCTTCTCCAATTATTTTTGTCATTGTCAAGTCAGGAAGTTGGTTCCAATCAGAGTGGACTAGCAGTCTCTCTCTCTCTCTCTCCTCTCTCTCTCTCTCTCTCTCTCTCTCTCTCTCTCTCTCTCCCTAAAGGTTTATTTATTTATTATATATATAATGTTCTGCTGGCATGTATGCCTGCATGCCAGAAGAGGACACCAGATTTCATTATAAATGGTTGGGAGCCACCATGTGGTTGCTGAGAATTGAACTCAGGACCTCTGGAAGAGCAGCCAGTGCTCTTAACCTCTGTGCCATCTCTCCAGCCCCCAGAAGGCTTTCTCTTAAATGTCAGTTTGGACCTACTGTGAAAGGTTTAATGATAAAACTCTTGAAGCTGGCTATGGGTTTGGAGAGTGAGGATGTGGGAATTGACTAGTAATGTCTGCCATGGGATCGGGAAGGGTAGAATATAGCATATATGCTTGAGTTTTCTATTCCTCTCAGTAGACAATATCTGCAAGATGTCATAGCTCTTTGGTCTGGTTCAGAATTGGACTAAGGGGGCTTCAGAGGGGTAAGATCAAGGGTAAAATGGTTTATCTTCATTCTTGTAGTTGGCTTTCTGCAATGCTGTATGCATTGTGCTCTCATGCCTTCTTTAGTCAATAAAATCCTAACCCTGAAGCTCAGCTCTCTTTGGAGTTACCATGCTGGGTTAGGGGTTGAGGGACTTGACAGGGAGGCCTTATGCAAAAAAAGATGTTGGGGAGATGGTCTCTGGACTAGCGGGATGGGTGTGTTTAACTCCCTTACTTATCACTACAGCTGTTTGGCCTTAGATTTCACTCTCCTGAGCCTGTTTTCCTACCTATAAAGGGAAACACTCATGGAACACGCATGGGGGTGTGTTAGCTTTATATGAGATGCCTGCGAGGACAGAATGCATCATCTGGCTCAACCCGAGCTAACGTCAGTAGCATCCATGCTCTCTGCCTCTACCTTCTTTGTTCCTTGGGAGCCCTGGTCCTTGCTGAAGCCTTCTTTCAATTCTGGCTCACAACAGGGTGAAATTCTCGAAGAGACAGGGAGCCCTCTGGTCTAGACTACCCAGAAGGAATTGCAGAAGGGAAAGCATTGAGCCACCTTCCTACTGGTCTGAATGGCTGAGAGGGGCCACCCTGCTCCTGCTTCTGACACCACTGTCACAGAGGAGTGGGCTAGGAAGACTCTGGACACCTGTGTTTCTCTGGGGCCTGCAGCACTGGGAATAGAGACCTTGGGACATCCTGCCTGAGGACAGATGAGGGGATGGGGCTGTGTAGATACTCACGGATCTCCTTGGAGGGCACCCCTGTTTGAGAGAAAGAATCTGGTTAGTGAAAAGGTACTTAGGCTTCTTGCAGGAGGAGGAGGGGGCTGAGGGCTGGGCAGTGGGAACACACACTTTGATGTGGTTCCACTGATGGGAATTAGCTCTCCTGTTACATCTGGGAGCTTTCTCTTACTTGCTGCTGCCACCCATTCATAAATTGGTGCATATGCATGTACACTCATGCATGCACAGGCACATACATGTACATAAATGCATATTCAACACACATGCATAAACATACATATGTACAGACACAAATTATTCATGTTTAAAATCAAGTTGTGCTATGCTGTGAGAAACCTGGAGAATGAGCCTTAACCCTGTGTGTTTGGTGGGTGTGATATTTAAGCACTATGTGGCTCAGTTTACTTGACAGCACATAGAAGGCATCACATCCATCTTCACTGGGCTGTGGAGAGGATCCAGTGAGACCCTGAGGATCTCAGTGAAGGACAGAATTGTGCTGCCGCTGGTGCTGTGGCCCCTGGGTCATCTCTTTCTTGAAGGCCTATCTGTGCTAGGCCTGAGGGATCCTGGTTACTGCCTGGTATCTTGTCTCACTTTGTCCTAGTTCTTTCTGGGTTTCTAGGTCAGGTGTCCACCATACTGTAATGGGTCCTAGAGAGCAGGTTCCTTCAGAAAACACAAAAATGTCTGGGAAGGAGTATGCCTTTTCTGAGTCCTATCCCAGCAAACAACCAAGGCTGAGCCAACCACAATACCATCCATCCTCTGGAGACAGAGCTCTTCTCTGTGTTAATGTATTCCCTTGGTGTTGGTGTGTGTGTGTGTGTGTGTGTGTGTGTGTGTGTGTGTGTGTGTGTGTGAAGAAGTGCCTTTTTCAGTTCTAATATGGCCATCTGGACAGCTGGTAGCCATCATGTGTCCTAGAGAGAAGCTGACCATGAGTGTAGCTTCTACCCCATTGAAGGAAGGCAGTACCTAGGGGACTGGGGATATGGCTCAATTGGTAGAGTACTTGCCTAGCATTCACAAAGCCCTGGGTTCAACTTCTAGCATCCCATAGGCCAGGTGCAGTGGTGCCGATCTGTGATCCCAGCACTCAGGAGGCAAAGGCAGGAGGATCAGAAGCTATCATTCTCCCTTTGAGGCCAAGCTGGGCTACGTGGGACTGTTTTCCAAACACAGCACATCCAAGGGTACAGAGTAAGATGGGCCCTGGGGCTTTGTGGTACTCCTGGAACCAACTCTACCTGACTTCTCAATGAAGAGACTTAAGAGACACTGTTATACTGAAACTATTTAGAGTTGATTTTGTGTCTCCTGCCTAGTTTTCCAGGTAAGCCTGGAGTTCTTAATCTCCACATCCTTGTACTGTGGGCCTTGGTGGCCTGGCAAAGCCGGTGAGCTTCTCAGAGTAGTCCATCCTCACTCCCTTGGGATACTTAGCACTTTCTTCTCCAGCAGAGCTCAAGTTATTAAGTGCATAAAATAAACCGGATTGGATTATGAAGGAAACCAGTTATTATCATCTTTCTGTATAATAGTGATAAGATATATTTGTTCTGTTATATATAGGCTTTAGTATTAGCACATAAAATCATAAAATAGGGGTATGTCCCCCAGGGCAGGAGCCCGTGAAATGAGGGGAAGTTGGCCCATGAGTCTGGGCAGCTGATGGGTTTCTGTCTGTTTTCCTCACTGGGCATACCTCCTGCATTTCTGCAGACTCTGAGTTAGGGGAATGCACTGCTGTTTTTTGGGAGCATTGTAACGAAGTCTGTTTCTCTGTCTTAGACCGTTAGCAGGGGTCACCTCTTCCTTATTTTGGGTTCCCTGTGATCCTATGCAGAGCTTACGGCCTGATGCTTGTGAGTTGGAGTTACTGGTTTGTTAGCTCCCAGGTAATTGAGCTTTGAAAGGTTCAGTTACTGGATGAAATCTCGACAAGCATTACCTACTGCATTCTGACTGTGGCTCTGTCCTGTATGAGACACTTTGACCCTCCTGAAAATAGCCTGGTTCACATCTCCTTGAGGTCAGCAGGCAGCAAAATCCATCAATGGTCTGTAGAAGCAGTAAGTATCTTTGGATCAGGGACATGGCAGCAACTAAGTGTCTATATAAATGAAGTCTCAGTGTGGGCTCTGTGTCTCAGCTGACAAGAGGCAGATGGCACAAGGCTATCCAAACCCTCCACCTCGGAGTTGTGCTAAAATGGGGTTCCTGTTTTCTTAGTGTCTTGGGAAGTTGGGAGCCATTTTGGTCCTTGGAGATCATTTTGAACTCTGTCAATGGTAGTGGTTCTCAGTTTCCCAGAAGACAAATCTAAGAACATACACCCCTTCCCTTCTTTCTTCAAAGGATTTGAATATATATACCCAGGCACCATCTCTGTTCTGACATCTCTAAGGGAGAACTTGGGTTAGTTTCAAAAGTCTCCTTGACTTTCTATTTTCTCAGAACACACATGAAACCATGCCACAAATCATGCTTGAGTCTATTATACAACCATATCAAAAACCACTCTCTGAGGGTATTTGTGCATCTTAAATGAGACTGAGTAGGTAAAACAGTAAGAAATTACCCATCTACTTACTTCTCCAATCATTCATTCACCTACCCACACATCTATCCATTTACTTACCTATCTACCCACTAACTCATCAACCTACTTGCCATTTTATCCATTCATCAGTTCACCTATCCATTTACTTAATGATCCTTCCACTTACCCACCTGTCATTCTATTCATCTATCCTTTCAGTCATTGATCTTCCCACCCCCTGTCCTTCTATCCACCATCTATCTACTCACCCACTCATCTATTCATTCACTTACCTATCCATTCACCTATACATCCACCCTTTCATTTTGTCTACCTATTCATCTACCTGTGCACCATAATGTAACCATCCATTCAACTATTTATTTTTCTATTCATTTATCCACCCACCTACAAATCCACTCATCCATCCATTGATCCATCCATCCATCCATTTTTCTTTCACTCATCAAATACTTATTGGCATTGCCATAGCCACAATATCCTTGTGTTCAGGAAAGTTATATTCTAGGAGGTGGAGTCAGGCAGTAACTAGGGAAACAAATTACAAGAAGGTGGTGTTTGGAAAGAAATAGGCTGACATGGAAGAGGTAAATGAAGGGGACAGGCTACAGCTGGAGCTGAGAAGGTCATGGAAGACCTTTGAGTGATAATGTTTGAGCACAGAGCTGAAGGTGAGATGAAGCAGTCATGCAGGCCCTGCACAGAGAGGGTTTAAAGCAGAGGGAACAGCAGGTAGGAGAAGCCATTCATAACTCAGATAGTATCATTTCTTCTTCACTCAAAACTCAGACAGTATTATTTCTTCTTCACTTCCTTCTTTCCTTCCTCTGTCCTTCCTTAGACAAGGGCCTTGGAACACTTCTGTGTTCCCATGGCTTCAGACTTCCTGGCAGTGCACAATGCCAGTGCACAGCTCAGCACATCTGTCTGGCTCTTGGGTCACTCCAGAAGAGAGGAGTTCATTGCCCTATCCCTGGTCTGCAGATTATGGGCCATGAGCTCCACTTACCCAGCCAGCGCGGCAGACGAATGGTTTTCCTGCTGAAACTGATGTAGCTGCGGAGAAAGACCCACAGGGCAACCAGGGTGAAGATGAAGGCCACGATGCGAATGAGACCTGCAAGTAGAGAGACTCTGCCAGATCATGCGCCACACCCCAACAGGAGGCTGCAGTGCAAAGCCAAGTGGAAAGTCCATGTGAGTTCTTGCCAAATTCCAGCAACAATACCACTATGAAATCCCTCTGTTGTAGGTACAGGTCATGTCCACACTGTGAGACTATGTGCTGAGTCCATAAGAGTCCATGCTGGGGTAGGACAGTGAGATCATATGATTAGATTTTGTGAGCATTTTCCAAATAGCCATTGTTAATGAGTTGAAAGTGCTCTTCCTTGGGCTTTAGTTAGCTTTCTAGAGAGAACCCACAGAGATGTATCATGGAGTCTGAACTATGTGCAGGAGTTCATGCTCTCTGAGCTAAAGTCTGTCAGTTCCAAAGAGTAAATATGGCAATGCTCTTACCTTGAGGTCCCTGGCCTCCACCCCACCCCCCATTTAGCCTCTCTCACATCATCTTGTTTCTTTGCAAATACCATCATCACACTACTTGGTTATTACTTGACTCTATTTGCTGAAATGTGACTTCCTTGAAGGCCAGAGTTTTATTTTGTATACAGAACATGTACTAATAAGTATTTGATGAATGAAAGAAAAACAGATGGATGGATGGAATGGCAGGTGGGTGGATAGATGGATAGATAATGAATGAGTAGAAGAATGGATGAGTGGGTGGATAGATGGATGGATGGGTAGATGAATGGCCTAGTTTATTGGTATTATAGTCATAGTAGTAGGTAGTATTCTGGTGGCTTGGGGAGCTGGGCATGTCTTCGATATTTTTAATCATCTCAAAGCCACCACAAATAATCACACAGTGGACTTGTTCAGCAGTTTCTGAATAGGCATTGCTCCCCAGCCTCTCCTGCCTCACAGACTCTGGCTCCTATCACTAGGGAGCAATCCCTTACCTGGGAAAGGAACCAAGAACCCATCCCTTGCAAGGATCAGAAAGAGTAACCACATTATTTTATTTGGTTTGGGGGATACTCCTTATCTTCTGGTACAGAAGAATTCTTGCAAAGCAGAATTCTTCTCAGGCCCCAGTCCACTCATTCTGTGCCAGGTACTACACTGACAGCTTTAAGGTAGACCGTCTCCATCCATGCTCCCATTAAATGTTTGTGCTTGCTAATGTATTACTTCACAGATGAGGAACCTGAAGCCGCATGTTTCCCATGACCACTTGGTAGAAGTGAGGTTTGGAACCCAGGCAAGAAAGGTGACCCCAAATCAGGTGCCATGCTTTCTCATAGTTACCCGAGAGGATAAGTGGGGCATGTGTATTGCACACACTCCCATTTCAATGCCTGTACAGAGGGGTCCATTTGAGGGTGTGCTCTGAAGACTTCTGCTTTACTGTGCTGCCTGTGGTATGAGCGCCCTGAAACAGCCCTCCTTGAGGATGGTACGTGGTCTGACTTCTGGCCAGAGCCAGGTGTTTCTAAGCTGGGAATCCAGGCAGATGGGGCCACTGGGCAGTAGCTGTTTAGCTCCTTCAGCCTGTAGGTGTGTCCTAAGGACACAGGCAGCCTAGGAGAGGCTACGACTGTGACCCAACACAAAAATCATAAACTTAAAATCATTTAAAGATTTTTTTTTTTTTTAATGAATGGAGAGATGGCTCAGTGGGTAAAGTAACAGCATAAGGACCCAAGCATATGTCAGAGCCAGTGCTGGGCTGTGTGTCTGTATCCTCTGCAGAAGCGGAGAGGGGGGCAGAGACAGGCAGATCCCAGGGGCTCCGTATCTGGAGAACTCCAAGTTCAGTGAGAGACCTTGTCTCAAAAAATATGGTAGAGATTGACAAGAAAACATCTGACATTGACCTCTGACCTCTACTCATACCTGTGCACACATATGCACAATACACACAACACTTATTATTTATTTAGTTGTTTGTTTACTTATTTAAGTAACTCGTTAGTGGTTCTAAAGTGTGGGCTTTGTAGATGACAATGTTATGTCACACTGTCCAAAGGTTGGACACAACACCCAGAGGGGTCTCCCAGGCTCTCCTGCATGCTGTCCTCCTGGCATTCCTGGGGACCTTTGACAGGAGACACTGAATCACCCCCAGGCTGGGACGGGTGCACACTGATAATAGAGAAGCGAACTTAGAGCACTATCCTACCTGCCACTCTCATCCTGCCAAGGAGAATGGCTTGGAGTTGGCGTTAACCTGTGGAGGGAAGAAAGTCCAATTACAAACTGAAGATCAGGGAGGGTACTGAAACTGAGTCCGGCATCTGGAATCCTTTGGCTTGGGTTCTCCTTGTCTTTCCTGAGCAGGGGAGCAGCTTTTTCTCCCCCTGCCTTGTGCCTCCCTCCCTCAGGCCCCCAGTGAAAGCAGAGATCACAAAGTGGATCTTGGAAGACTTGATTCACCTTCATTCCCGCCCCTCTTCCTGCCTTCCTCCCTTTCTCCAGCTCTTCCCCATTCCTGCCTGACTGCCCACCCACCCAGGGCTGTCAAGCCAGCAAAAGCATAGGGAACAAGCACAAGTGACTTTGGTTGAGGTATAGAGACATGAGTAGCCTAGCCTGGCATCCTGCAGGCAAGCCAGGCGGCACTGTATGAGAAAAGAATCTTTTCAGGGACTAGTAAGGGCAGCTCACGTGGTTAAGCCCAAGGGCACTCAGCAGGAGAGGTGAGAGGAGGGATTTGGACACATAGCTGCAGCTACCGGGTCCCCTGCATCCCCTCAGGGTCCCACTTCTAGTACTTTCTGTTTCCGAAGAGAGCTTAAACCAGAATTTTCTTCTCTTTTGCTTCCCAGGCAGGGTCTGGGTCATCCTTCCCACACCCTGTGTTGCCCTCAGGCACTGGACAGTTGCCAGGAATGTGGTAACTTTGAAAGCTTCCTGGAGGCCAGGGGTAATTAGAGGGGAGGGCTGGGTGGTGGTGTTAGGCCTGGAGCAAGTGGCTTTTAAGTCTGTTGTGATTTCATTGCCCTCCTCCCCTTCCCCCCTAGAATTTTCATTCTCCCAAGACTCTATTTTAACAGACATCACTCAACAGTCTCCAATGTCCAACTGCCAAAGGCTCTTTTTGGTGAGCCGGGGCTACACAGCACAGGGCTCTAACGCCCTTCTGCATCAGGTCAAGCATCTCTGGCCTCCCTGGTGTCTTCATGGATGTACTAACATTTAAACAATGGTTACAGCTATGGAAACCTCCAGTGGAGGGCACCTACTGCTCTACCTTCCCCCAGGTCTTCTGAGTAGTCTCCCCTTCTTCCTCCCATATCTCCTCTGAAGAAAGCTTCTGTAGACCCTTTAGCTTCCCTCAGATTCAAATGACAACTTTGTTTTCAGATAAAAAAGGTGTATCATAATGACAAGGGGTCCTTAGGAATGTGACTTGTAGCCCAGGGGCTTCCACATGAGAACTGAAGGACATTCTGTGCCCAGTACCATGTACATGTTGGGCAGAAAGGGTAGAAGGGTGGGGCTGGAATAGGTCAGGCATGAATAGTAGCAGAGTGTGCAAAGAAACAGAGCTGACCCATTCGGGTGGAGTGGACTGAGGAAGGAAAAATAATGAGGCAGAAGCAGAGATGGAAGGTGATAAGGATATGGAGGAGGCAGAGGGAAGAGCAAGGAGTCTTAGTGGATCCTCGAGATATGGAAGAACCAGGCAATGTTTAGAGGAGAAGAGAGGGCCAGGGCACAGAAGACTGGCTGGGCAACCAAGCTTGGCAGGAGCTGGCTTCAGGGCTGGGGTGGGGAGCAGCAGGGCAGTCGTGCCTTGGCCATGGGCTCTCCAGCCTAACGTCCCTCCTGCTTGAGTCCCTGGCTGCCCACCTGACACCCGAGGAGCTCCTCCGTCTCCGGAGTCTCTAGTGTGCCAGGCGTTCGGGTGGGGCCAAAGGTTAGGACTGGTCTGCTGATAAAGGTGAGGGGTTGTAGGGAGGGGAAAGATACCAGGAACAGGTAACCCAGGGAGGGAAAGCATTTTCTCCTTATCACAACTGGTCATTCAGGTTGCAGAGGTGCAGGGGAAAGGTCTCCTTGTTCTAGAAGCAGCCAGGCCTGGGTGGCCTAGATACCTAGCAGGTAGGAAAGGTGTGGGGGAGGGAATACAAGAAGGGTTGGGAGGAGGGCCTGAGCTGCTGAGAGCTGTGCCTTTCCTCCCTGACCAAGAGCCACCAGCACCTCCATGTCCTGGGCCTCTCCTGCTGTCCTGCCCTTCCCACACTCTCTGCTGATTTCTGCCTCCAGATCAATTTAGGAGCCTCAAACACCTTCTCTCCAGAAGGCCTTGTGTCCTGCAGGCCCAGAGCTACAAGAACATTGAGGAGTGCTCAATATATATTCAGAGATGGGATGAACTGAACCCTGCATAGTCCTGGAAGGGTAGGATGATCCCACTACCACATGGAGAAGGAGGTGGAAGTTCATAGAGACCACACAGCATATTGTGGATTTTATTCCTGAAGCACTTTCTGAGAATCAGTGTGAAGCCGGGCTGGGCACCAGACAGGGGGATGACTGTTATAAGTCACACTCGAAAGCACCCTTGAACTTTGTTTGCCCTTACTGGTCTTTTGTGTGAACACTGTTACTAAGAGTCTAGTCTGGAACAATCTTACTCAATTGCTTATGGTAAAAACTATTTTCCCTGGGAAGTCTTCTGTGACTGCAAGTTGTTCTAGATTGAGGCACATTCATCACGCTTCCCTGCCACATGGGGCCTTGTTATGTCCTTTGTGATTGCTTTTGAAGTTAGCATGTGACTCAAACAAGACCAATCTGAAACTTTACTGATGGGTATATAGAGGTCAGGAGAGAGGTGCTAAGAGATGCTTCTATAAGTCTGGGCTGGTGGGGCCAGTGTGAAGGCCTGGTCACAGAAGAGTTAAACAGTGCCAACTTGTGATGCCGAGAAAGAGGCTGCATCTAGGTCAGGCACACGTGGGCTTGCTGCATGTGGCTCATTAGATACAGCTCTTGGAGCTTTGAAAAAGGGCTGATGCCTGTTGTGAACGTGGGCCAGCAGCAGGTCAACCTGTCTAGAGGGCTGTGCTGGCCTGAGAGCGAGCACCATGCTGTCTTGCTTACAGGGCTCACTTCTTCAGCTCTGTTTGTGTTTCTCCTTGGCATTATTCCCACAGGGATGTTTATTCTTTGTGGAACCAAGGTATCACCACAGCATCTCTGCCGGCTGCTTGTGACATTTCCTTGCCCTTATTTCTTTACAGTGTTAGGCGTTAAACCGAGGACACTGAGCATGCCAAACATATGCTTTAATACTAAGCTCTACCCTAAACCCCCAATCTCTATCGCCACAGTTCTGAAAGGCTCCGCAGGATCCAGGATGTCAGTTTCTTCCTGTTTCCTGAGCTCTCTGTACACAGGTGATTTTCAGCCCAACCACAACCTACCTAGAGGTGAGGTGGACAGAGAAAGGAGAGCCTCTCCCTAGGCTGAGGATGAACTATCAAGGAGTAGTCAAGTCAGAGCATCTCATCACCATCACTAACGAAGTGAGAACTTCACTTGTTAAATCCTGACTCTTGGAGCCTTTCTGCCATCACAAGGACCCTCTATTAAAGTACTTGGACTGCTCCATGGTTGGCCCGAGCTTTTGGCCAGCTCCCCTGCTGCCTGCAGCTCCTCTAGACAGTCTTTATTCATGGCCCAGTGCTGGCACCAGGCATGTGGAAGGTGTGCTGAGAATGAAGGAGAGGGCTTTCTGCAAACTGGCCTTCTCCCTGCACCCAATGGCTTCCTTCTTTTTATCTTCTACCATTTCCCCATCAAGCTAGACTACCCAGAGGACATATCTGGACTTTAGAACCCACTTGGCTTCTGAAAATTTATGTCCTGGTTATTTCCACATCATTCTTGGACATTTCACAGACTGAGTGAGTCACAGAGGCTGCAGATCACTGTCCTTGCAGGAGATTCTACCTGTTCTCCCATCCCTGCCAGGTGGGGCTTCATTGCTAGGGATGAACACTTTGGGACATGGAAGTCTTGCTGGGGCAATGATAGCATCTGGGGGACACAGCTCATGGGGAGGAAGATGGGAGCAAGGTGGAAACAGGATTGAGAGTGCAAACTAAGACTCTTAAGGGACTGAGGGACATATGCTGATCCTGTAGGAAGCTCGGCCCAGGCCCAGTTGTCCATATACTTCATTTTCTAATCACCTCTGTCCACCCTGAATAATAGCCTGCATGAGGCCACCATTCTTTCCTGGATAGTCCTTCTCCCAATGCACTGATATTTACAGGAAATTATTGATGATGAGATATGCAGTGAATAAATCCATAAACAATAAGACTGCTGGTGAGAACAATTTGTCCCAGTGACATTTATTTAGGAAGGAAATCGCTTATTATTCCCATAATACCCTGTCCTTGCTATTGTCTTGTAGAGAAATTTTAAAAATGCTTGGTTTTTTATCAACTTGACACAAATCTAGACATGTCTGAGAAGAGAGAACCATGATTGAGAAAATACCTCCATAAGACTGGCTTGTAGGTAAGCCTCTGGGCCTTTTTCTTGCTTAGTGATTGATGGGGGAGATGTCACCCATGGGCGGACAGTCCTGGGGTGCATAGCAAAGCAGGCTGAGAAAGTCATGTGCAAACAAGTCAATGTGCAGCACCCCTCTATGGCCTCTGCTTTTGTTTCTGCCTTCAGGTTCCTGCCCTGCTTGAGGTTTTGCCCTGGCTTCCCTTAGTGATGGAGTGCGATTTGAGTTATGAGATGAAATAAACTCTTTCCTCCCCAAGTTGCTTTTGATTGCAGTATGTTATCACAGCAATAAAAACCATAACTAAGGCATTATGTATCATTGTGTTTTTGTGCTTGTGTGTGAGAATGCATGGGGAGGCCAGAAGAGGGTGTCAGATCCCTTGGGGCAGGAGTTACAGGAAGCTGTAAGCTGCCTGCTGTGTGTTGAGTCCTCTCTCCAGCCCCTATTTATTGAAGAGATTTTACTCTCCCAGTTCCTGGGGCATTTCCCAGGATAAGATGACAAATACTCTGTACTAGGCACTGTGTACCCTTGAATTATTTTAACAAATTTAATCCTACAACAGATCAATGAAGACTCTGAGGAAACTGAGTCACAGAGTGATCAGGTCATGTAGCTAAGAGTCAGAAGAAGAAAAGATTTCAGGTGAGATAGTCTGTGCCAGGACCCCACTTTTTCTTCTTTAAATTTAAGATGGTCTCAGATTGGCCTCAAACTCTATACACAGCCTAGGCTGGTATTTCAATCCCCCTGCCTCAACCTCTGGAGGCTGGGATTGCAGGCATGTGCCACCATCCCCCCTAGGAGCCCCCGTGCCTCATTAGTTATTGTAGGTTGGGTCAGATTGGAAATATTTTGGGCTTTCTAGGCTGTTTGTTCCCAGAGACAACAATTTAGTCTTGCTACTTGATCAGGATGGAGACTGTAGACATGTAAATGAGTGGATGTGGATATGTGCTAACAAAGCTTTAAGAAAGAGGTGCTAAGGTGTCTGTGGACCTAGTTAGCTAGTTTGTTATCTAGTGTAGTTCTGTTAGCTAAAGGTGCACATGGGCCTGGGAGCTCCCCGACCTGAGGTGTGGCTCACCTAGGTGATGGAGATGGGAGGTGTGCTTGGGATAAGAGGAAGTTTCTAAGGCTCTGTTTCCATCTTCATCCTCCTGACTGGCAGGCCAGTCCAGGAGACAGATCCATGAAAACCTGTTCACTTTGATGGCGAGCTGCTTGTATCTTTATGTAGTGAAGTTTTAGGAGGTCATTCCTTTCAGTATATCTGACAGAGGTCATGGTCTGATATGCTTTCCTCAGTGCTCCCTCTCTTCTCCCCACAGCTGCCCAGGGAGGTCCTCAGTAAGATGATTGCCTGAGTCCCATTCACTCCTGTAAAACTAAGTGGCCCAGGAGCCGGAGTCTATAATGCGGAGTGGTTAATAATGAGACAAGAGGCAGCCTGCTGTGGCCTTCACCGTGGTA